GTAACCAATAAAGTTGTGGCCTAATTTTAGCCCATTAACCTAAATTACTGTGTCCTGTGTCTTTATTTCTACTGGTGGGAGGCGGGATCTCGCCACACAAGTCCTCTCTCTGCTAACATCCCATCCATTGTTTTTTACTGGTTTCTGCTTATATTAGGCTATAAAGGTATGGAGAGAGGTAACACGCTTTCATTACCGGTCAACATTATTTTATCCTTAACCATGAAACAAAACTATTTCATGGAACATCTTCCATCTAACCATATAGACCCTTATATCACAAATTGCAAATGGAGTCAAGGAATGTAGGAAGAAGTCACAGTGCCGCCCCAGGACAACACTAATTTTATATGCAGGGTTTTTGGTTTTTTTCATGCAGAAACCTGCTGAAACGATGCAGCGAACGCTTTCTGTTGTTTGACCTTTTCAGCTGATTAAAGTGGTTAAGCTGAGCTTAACTGGAGTCAGAGACAATTGAGGCATATTGAGTTGGTGGGGCAATATAATATCAATTAAAATGACAGTGACAGTTGCTTTTCTTGTACAGCCCCTTTAACAGAGGCTGTAAGGCACCAGACAGGCCTGGTGGAATTTTTGTGTGTGTGCTCGCCTCGTTCCTCTCCTGGTCCCCATATTCCCCGGGAGAGGGACATGGTCTCTTGCCAGTAGATGCAGGCTATTTAAATGCTCCATTGGAGAGGGATTAAAGTTTATGCAAGGTCACTGGGGATGTGATAATTATAATCACAGGTTTTTGGCTCCACAATGACAGCCATTTGTTATTTTCGCTCGAGTAATTCTGTAGCTTGGAGCTGTTGACAAGCATGCACTGATTTACTGCCCTCCCCCCCACCAACTCCCCACCCCCACTGGTCCCAAGGTAGCAAGCGCTCCGAAGTCTGACATCTCAGTGTGGCTCCTGCTGATTCCGGTATCTTTTCTGTTCTGAGCTTCAATAGTGGCTGGAAATTGTCTTAGTTTATAATGGGATCAGAGCGAAAGGGAGCAGAATGGGAATGGGGAGGGGGTTTTTAATCCTTGCCTACAACCCTCCTATACCTGCCCTTCCCACATGGACCAGCATTTATGCAGGGACGCAATTTGCACTTCAGGAACATTCTCATATTTTGCAAGACATTGGAGCAGGGAAGGGGAGGTTGGCAAATGTGAAAATAGGAAAGTGGGGGGGGGGGACATACCCTTTGAGCCCCAAGCGGTTGTTGGTCTTCTTCCTGCCTTAAATTAATGTATGCTGTTTTATTTCTATACTGATTCTCAAATTGGCAGACAAAATGCAGGTGGCTGTAAGATTATTGTCATTTGTAGCTATGTATAATGAGTATGGGGTTGCTCGTGCGTAAGTTGCCGCCTCTCCTGGCTATGTTGCCTTGTTAAACCTTTCTGTCTGGACAGCCCCTTCAATTCGTGGCTGCCTCAGTCGCTAGCAGAATCCGTCAGTGGGCGTTTCTTAAACCTCTTCCAACATAAAAGTTGTTTGACGCCTAGTCTCCTCCTACTCTCCCTGCGTGGAAGTCTTCTGCGCAGGGAGGGCGTGGGTAGCGGAGGACCCGTGCTCTCCCCGCTGGTGTCCAGTGAAGAGTCCTGGAGCCCTCTCGCCGATTCCCCCATCTGCCCCCCTTTATCCCTGGTGTAACGTTGATTTGCTTCCCCCTCTGCTGAACTGCCTCTCTCCCTGCTTGGCCCTTCTCCAGCATCATTTGAGAGCCTTCCCTCCGCCTCAGGCTCCGATGTCAGTTCCCTGACACTATGTATAATATTTTTTTAACCGTTCACGCACATGTCATCACCATTATGACGCTGCTTTTGTTTAGAATTCTGCCTCAGTGTAACTAGATTCCTAGTGCCTGCTTTTAAATCTAGCAGTATCTCTACGCAGATACAGTTAAAGCAGGATATCTACTTGCAGATAATTCAGAGGCCTAAATAGAAGAGAGGGCAGGCTGGAGAGAACATCGCTATTTGGGGGAGTGAGAAGGTTTCCACCCAGAGCCTTTGAACCAAGTTCACTTCATTATTTCAGAAGTGGAAGGCTCATGTCTTCTGTGGCCCCTCAGATGACCATAGGGAGAGCCGCTGGCCTCAAAACAAGCTTCCTCAAGTTTGTGAGCCACGAAAACAGGCCATTTTGGTTTCTCTCACCACCTTATTGACTGTTGGACCCACTATTGGCCTTATCCACTCAACCTTGTCTTCGCATGCAGGCGATTGACAAGTCCCTGACTCACTGAGTATTTGAGACCCCTCAGCTACCCTCACCTGGTTTAGCCATTCCTGGGGTTTGGCCACTGTTGCATGTTGACATGCTGACAGCAATACTAAAGGTAAAGGGACCCCTGACCATTAGGTCCAGTCGTGACCGACTCTGGGGTTGCAGTGCTCATCTCACTTTATTGGCCGAGGGAGCCGGCGTAGAGCTCCTGGGTCATGTGGCCAGCATGACTAAGCTGCTTCTTGCGAACCAGAGCAGCACACGGAAATGCCATTTACCTTCCCGCCGGAGCAGTACATATTTATCTACTTGCACTTTTGATGTGCTTTTGAACTGCTAGGTTGGCAGGAGCAGGGACAGAGCAACGGGAGCTCACCCCGTTGCGGGGATTCGAACCGCCGACCTTCTGATCGGCATGTCCTAGGCTCTGTGGTTTAACCCACAGCGCCACCCGCGTCCCTGACAGCAATACTAGCCCCCCCATTTTTTATTCAAGTTGACACATCTGTAATGCATAGCTTTATAAACCCCTACCAAGTCTCTTTTTACCTGCCCTTTTGCTAACCTAAAAATCCCAAAATCCCATCCCTTCCCTTCCCTTTTGGCATTTATGGGACGCGGGTGGTGCTGTGGTCTAAACCACAGAGCCTAGGGCTTGCCGACTGGAAGGTCGCGGTTCAAATCCCTGCTACGGGGTGAGCTCCTGCTGCTTGGTCCCTGTTCCTGCCAACCTAGCAGTTCGAAAGCACCTCAAAGTAGATAAATAGGTACCACTCTGGCGGGAAGGTAAACAGCGTTTCCGTGCACTGGTCTGGTTTCGCCAGAAGCGGCTTAGTCATGCTGCCCACATGACCCGGAAAAACTGTCTGCGGACAAACGCCGGCTCCCTCGAACAGTAAAGCGCGATGAGCGCCGCAACCCCAGAGTCATTCACAACTGGACCTAACTGTCAGGGGTCCTTCACCTTTCAAGGGCTGTGTGCTGGCTCCATATGAACTCTGAATTTGGGGTGCTTTGCAATGGCTCCAAGAGTGGGTTGGAATAATCTCTTACAGATACATAGCAGCTTCTCCTTCCTGAAGTGATTTGTTTAAAAGAAAAAAAAGGCAATTTGCAGTAAAAAATAACTTTGGAGAAACAGACTGTGTCGTCACATTTTAAAAATCAAAGCAAAAATACACTGACACACCATATAAAGAAGACCCAGAGATCAGGTGAGGGGGGGCATAGGGGAGGAGGTGGACTGTATAATATTGACACCTAGTGCTCCCAATCAAGGGCTAATAGCAGGGAGGGCACTAGGAAGGAAATTTGATCACTGAGACAGGCCTATAGCTTCCAATCAAAGGCTAGAAAATGTCACGCGCCATCTTCCCAGTCACAGCGCTCGTGGGGAGGGATGCTGAAGTAATTAAAAATGCTCTGTATTTCTCCTGCTTGGCCAGTCTTTCTCATTAGTTCCCTCAGAGAGTCATTTTGAAAGGCTTGCTGTTTGTGCTTTATTCATTGCACTGTTCTCGGTCTTGGACTGCACTAACGAGTGCTAGACTTTCTTTTCATATCAGTTTCTGTCCTCCTTATTTCATATTTCAATAATAATTGTTCACTGTTTTAATTAGAAGTTCTTATATTAGTTGTTTAGGTAGTGTCACATCGCCCTGTTCCCATTACGTGTGTGTGTGTGTGTGTGTGTGTGTGTGTGTGTATTATGGCTTTTATTCTTACTATTTACTAAATTTGTACACTGTGCCCTCTACCCGCAGGATTCAGGGCACTTCACAGGAGAAAATCACAATATAAAACCACAAAATACATAATCAAAATAGAAACACATTGTCTTCACAGTCTTCACCCTCTGACCACTCGTTGCATCACCAATCTCCTGGTTCTGAGCTTCTTCCCTTGAAGGTACCATAGCTGGTTCCTCCCACCATCCTCTGCATCCAACCAGTCAATGACTTAAATTGTGATGCCCAGAACTGGACACAGTATTCCAGGTGAGGTCTGACCAAGGCAGAATAGAGTGGTACTATTACTTCCCTTGATCTGGACACTATATGTCTGTTGATGCAGCCTAGAATAGCATTAGGGTTTTGTTTATTTTGCTGCTGCATCACACTGTTAAAGACGCCTGCTTCTTGGGAGAAAAGCGATGACAAACCTAGACAGCATCTTAAAAAGAAGAGACATCACCTTGCCGACCAAGGTCCGTATAGTTAAAGCTATGGTTTCCCCAGTAGTGATGTATGGAAGTGAGAGCTGGACCATAAAGAAGGCTGATCACTGAAGAATTGATGCTTTTGAATTATGGTGCTGAAGGAAACTGTTGAGAGTCCCATGGACTGCTAGAAGATCAAACCTCTCCATTCTGAAGGAAATCAGCCCTGAGTGCTCACTGGAAGGACAGATCCTGAAGCTGAGGCTCCAATACTTTGGCCACCTCATGAGAAGAGAAGACTCCCCGGAGAAGACCCTGATGTTGGGAAAGATGGAGGGCACAAGGAGAAGGGGACGACAGAGGACGAGATGGTTGGGCAGTGTTCTCGAAGCTACCAACATGAATATGACCAAACTGCGGGAGGCAGTGGAAGACAGGAGTACCTGGCATGCTCTGGTCCATGGGGTCATGAAGAGTCAGACACGACTAAACGACTAAACAACAACAACAAAGACCTCTAGATGCTTTTCACATGCATCGCTGTCAAGTCAGGTGTCCCCCATCAGTCACAGACTGCTTGGACACAGAGGAATGGTGGGAGGAAACAGCTGTATTTTATTTTCCATTATTTTTCATTCTAGCACCCCACACTTGTTTGTTTGTTTATTACATTTCTCCCCCACCTTTTTCTTCACACTGCATCCTGTGGCCACCGAATAGTCCATTTCACTTGCCAGCATCAACATCTCTTGCCTCTATGGAAATAAACAAAACAAAAAATACTATTTAAGGGGAAAAACAGAGGGGCAAAAGAGGACAAGGGAGAGATAAATGGCAAAAGTTGCAGTACAGGGAGGACGTGCTACAGAAAAGGTATTACCCTATTATGCATAGTAACAAATGGAGTCCCTGGAAACCCTACATTTTTCATCTTATCGACTTTGAAATACATGGATATTCATAGCTGTTACAGCTAACATTGTAGAAAAGAGAAAAGATATATATTGCTTTTGAAATTCATCAGATAACACCAGTAAATCACATGTCAAAATCTCTTTTTAAAAAGTGAGGCTCTCAAGACCAGCTTCTTTTGCTTATGCTAACCTGCATAAAACAAAATGAATGAAATAAACATTGCTCTCAATCACCCAAACAAAATGCCACCACGAAGGATGGTCTTGTTTAAAAAAAAAATGATTGTTGTGATTTGAAAATGCATTTTTAAAAGCAATTTTATTACAAAGTGTCCTATCAAAAAACATTTTAAAAATTATAGCTAACAGCATACATTCCTCAGGGCTTAGGGAAATCACTCTACACAGAAGGAATTTCCAGAAAGAATTTAGTGGGCTTTTTTAAAGGAAGAAGAATAAAGTTGACTAACAGCACAATTCTAAACATTTCTAACCTTCAGTTCATTGAGGCTTAATATTCCCTGGTAAGTAGATATAGGGTTGCAGCTAAAATGTTGACAGATGGACTGCAGGAAAGGGATACTGAAAAGTAAATCCTTGGATGAATTTAATAAATAATAGAATAAAAATAATAAACCAGTTATCAAATATTTAGAAATGTTCTTGTTGTCTGGTATCGTACATTGGTCTCAAAATATTGTATTAGCTTGGCAGTCCTGAAAAAGTGAAGTCAGAGAGGGATCACACAAGCCCAGACGAAACCTCTCGCCTCCAGAGCATGTACCGAATTCTGGCTGGCGCTGTCCAGCAAAGATGCCCGACTAGAAGGTAATTGTCATTATCAAACAGATGGCAATATATTTGAATGTTACTGAAAAGGTTAGCGCCTGACTTGTCACCTTTATTCTTCTGGTGCTGTGACTATGCATTTTTAAATATTCTGTAGGTTGTTGTTTTTTTTTACATAGTAAAGATAAAGGACCCCTGGCAGTTAAGTCCAGTTGTAGACAACTCTGGGGTTGTGGCGCTCATCTCGCTTTACTGGCCAAGGGAGCTGGCCTTTGTCTGCAGACAGTTTTTCCAGGTCATGTGGTCAGCATGACTAAGCCACTTCTGGTGAAACCAGAGCAGCGCACAGAAACACCGTTAATCTTCCCACTGGAGTGGTACCTATTTATCTACTTGCACTTTTTGGTGTGCTTTCGAACTGCTAGGTTGGCAGGAGCTGGGACTGAACAACGGGAGCTCACCCCATCGCGGGGATTCGAACTGCCGACCTTCCAATCGGCAAGTGCTAGGCTCAGTGGTTTAGATCACAGCGCCACCCACGTTACATAGTAGTTTGACTATAATAAAAATTCGATTGATTTATACATTGGACACTCCATATAACTAATGGCTGTACCTTTGTGGGAGCGGAGCAATAAAAACAGTAACACATTTTGTGTGTGTATGCAATGTTCACAGAGATAAGCAAAATAGATTATTTACTCCCAATCTACTGAAATATCCAAATCTACTGAAATATCCAAATATGGTATCTGGCGTACAAACTGGCCAAAACACACAAAACCATAGCAGAAACATTTGCTAGATTTCTCTGTTTTTGTGAATTTAATTGCATCTTGATTTATTTCTATCCTTAGTATATACAAAATTAAAAAATACCTATCTGAAGAAGTGTGCATGAACACGAAAGCTCATACCAATAACAAACTTACTTGATCTCTAAGGTGCTACTGGAAGGGGAAAAAATTACCGGTATTTTGTTTCGACTATGGCAGACCAACACAGCTACCTACCTATATCTTAGTATATACAGTCTAAGTACCATATATTTTAAATTGGTGCATGTTAGAAATTGCATATTGGTCTTTAATCTGCTTTTATTGGGACTGTGATCAATTTGTATTTGTTGGTATAGTTCTTAACTAGCAGTGGGGTTGTCCCTGTGGCTCCATAGAGCGATGATCTAAAGTGGTGAGCCCCTCCGTGTTCCCTTAGTGACAACCCCCCTGCCTGCAGCTGGATCTGTTCTTCTAGCCCAGGGGTGTCCACACATTTTTCAAAGAGGGCCAGATTTGATGAAGTGAAGGGCTGTGAGGGCCGACCCATGTTGTTGAGCCTTTTTTTAGGATTGAAGTTGTTGAGCTCTTTTTAAGATTGAAGTTGTTGAGATTTTAAAAAAAGATTTTACTGTTATGTACTGAAGTTCTCACCCTGGGCCAGCAGGGGGATACTGTAGATAGTTATGCAAATGAAGGATCGAAAGTGACGCTCAGCGATTGGATAGTTTTAGAAAGTTGCTACAGTTACGTTGTTCTGGAGCTCTATATAAGCAGGCTGACTGAGCTCTTCAGTTCAGTTCTGGCCTCTGAATAAACAAGAGCTGTTTGAAGAATCGCTGTGTCGTCTGATATGTTCACCCACAACCTAACATTTACCCCAAGAAATAAACTGCCTCAGGGGCCGGATTAAACCAACCGGCGGGCCAGTTTAGGCCCCTGAAATGGACTTTGGATATGCCTGTTCTAGCCAAACCAAGGCTCTGGTCCACAGTCGCACTGCAGTTCAATTCAGCCAGCCATCGGATAGTAACCCTCTGGAACCAGCAGAACCTTGATGCTTACCTGCAAGTAGAAATCACACACAACAAACAAGGAGGCAGGAAGTCTATAAGCAGGCAACTTAATTGGCTGCAAGAGCATACCAGGCAGGGTCCAGGATGCAGCCAGCCAGATCATCCCTGCTTGCTCCTCTGTAGTTCTGCTATGAAAAATGTGGTATCCTCATCACAGTAATACATCATCAGGATTAACCCATTAATATCAAACGGCTGTGTACCTTTTGTACGTAAGGATAAAAGTGTAATGTGTGCCAGCACAAAGTAGACAGCACAAAAAGAGGTCCCTGTGCTCTGTACAATGCTGTAACAAACAAAGGCTTTATCATATCTAATTTAAACATCAAGTTTTCTATGTAAGCAACTTACATAACTCATGCTGGTTCATATTTCACTTGTAGCCTGTTTATTTACTGTATATCTGCAGTGTATATAGACTTCTGGGTCTCCTGCAGCAGCAGCAATAATGTATTTTTCCTGGGGCTTTTGTGAAGTTTAATTAATTAATGTGTTGAGGTTTTCAGATAAAAGTGCCTGTTTAGCCCGTTGTGTAAACAATATTGATTATTATAGAATTATAAAAAGTTGCTCGTTGTCAATAGTGTCAGTATTTCCCTTCATTTCTCATAAAGTAATTCTCTCTCTACACACACACACACACACACACGGTAGGAGGGTGGGCTTTGGATATGCTTGATGCTGTTTGGAAAACTGACTAACAGGGTGTTCACTTTTACCAGGCCATTAATTGATAACACTTAATTAATCTGCCATGTGAGAGATCAAATGAAGATTATGTCCCAGCACTAGTAACATATATTGACTTTGTTATTCCAATTATGTCTCTGACCAGACTAGCCCTTTGGTAGAAGACTTAACCTTTGAATCACCCTCAGCTCACAACTACATCAGCTCCTGGGGATCTGACCTGAAAGACCTTGACACAGTGCCGTATTCTGTATTCCTCCTTCTAAAATCTGTGTCTGGCACATCTTGGGGCTCACAGTTTTACAATTACATTCACATGTGAAACAAGCAATGCTGAGATAGGAGCTTTGATCATTAGTACAATGGCCAGGTCGCAATTAGCAGTTTTAGGTTTCTGACTGTTGCTTTGCTTGCCTGGGCTTTTCGAAAAGAATACCGCGTTTTTTGCTCTATAAGACGCATCAGACCATAAGACGCACCTAGTTTTTTGGAGGAGGAAAACAAGAAAAAAGATATTCTGAATCTTAGAAGCCAGAACAACAAGAGGGATCGCTGTGCAGCGAAAGCAGCAATCCCTCTTGCTGTTCTGGCTTCTGGGATAGCTGCGCAGCCTGCATTCGCTCCATAAGGTGCACACACATTTCCCCTTACTTTTTAGGAGGGAAAAAGTGAGTCTTATAGAGCAAAAAATACGGTAAATGTTAGGCAATGAGCAGTTAGGCTGAGCTGTGATACATGCAAAGTATGACAAACAAGGAGGTCAACTTACTACAGCAAATCGAACTTGCTTTAGATTTCTATGCCCATTTCCATTTCTGTTTCCCTACTTCTAAAATATACTGGATTCCCACCAGATTGGGCTACTGCCATCCTTGCCTGATGGAGGCGTCACATATGCCCCGCTTTGTAGATCTGACAGTCAGTACATGGCCATTCGTAGCCCCACAGTCTGCAGATGATATATCTCACTATATTCCCAACTGCTTTATGTCCCCCTGGAGATTCGAGCTGAGAGCTGCCCACATTCTAAATTGTTCCTGATGAGCTAATCATCCCAGTTGCCCTAAACTCTGACTGAAGTCCATCTAGAAAATCAGTTTCCTCCAAGAATGCCCAAGAAGGAGAGATTACCATCTTGCCAGTAGTTACAGTGGTACCTCAGGTTAAGTACTTAATTCGTTCCAGAGGTCCATTCTTAACCTGAAACTGTTCTTAACCTGAAGCACCACTTTAGCTAATGGGGCCTCCTTCTGCCGCCACACCGCCAGAGCACAATTTGTGTTCTCATCCTGAAGCAAAGTTTTTAACCCGAGGTACTATTTCTGGGTAAGTAGAGTCTGTAACCTGAAGCATATGTAACCTGAAGCGTATGTAACCCGAGGTACCACTGTACTTAGATTTTCCGAGTTCAGGGTGGGTTTCTTGAGGAATGGTTTTACCCGGCTTCGACTGGGGAGGGCGGGATATAAATAAAAAATTATTATTATTATTATTATTATTGTCTCCTTCAAGCAGGCAGGGATGACCCCTTTTCACAAGGAGGCATTCATCACCTCCCTGGCCCAGCCAATTGTTCCCTCCTCGCTAGTTTTTATGAGCCAAGAGGTTCCAGGGTTATCCAAACACTGATTGAAATACCTTGTCTGCATCCTCAATCCTTACTAACTGAAACTCACCCAACACAACAGGACTAGACAGTGTTTTGAACACCCCATGAGATTCATCTGCTATAACAGTGGAGACAAGATTCTGGTGGAGGCAAGTGGTTTTATCCTCAACATGCTTTGCAAACAAGTCACAGCGAGCTACTGTTCATTCCACCACCTCCTTTGGGACAGCCTCTAAAAGTCCCCGCACTACCCAGAGGAGCTCTGCTGGATGACTGTTAGAATTCCTGCTCCATGATTGCAGTCATGGAATTTTTGTCTTTCACATGGCGGTGTATGTTTTGACTCCACAGAGTATGAAGTGACAGAGACAGGATGTTTGTGTTACTGTGTTCTGTGAAGTGGGACTATTGTCCTTTGTTCTTTCTCTCTTTGCTGTCTGATGCTAGAGAGAGAGTGAGCCGTGTTGCAGTGCTCCGTGTGTGTTTATATATAAATAAAGTAGATTAGCCAAAATGCTGAGTTGCCGAGGTCTGTTACGCAAGATGCGCAAACTCTGTGGATCCCTAAGTGTGCCGGTGTCGGTTGGCATCGGTCGCTGTGATGTTCGGGCTGAAGAAAGCTTTTGAAGCTCCCGAACGAAAGACCAAGAGGGAGAAAACATGCCAGTTGGGCATGTGTCTCTGCCAGGGCCCTACTCGAGTGTAGGCCGAGCTCCTGATATCATAAGAATGCAATGGAGGCAGCAAAGTATGCCTTCTATGCTACCATCACTGCTCAATGATGAGCTCTCACCATTCTGTCAGATCTTTCCTCCACTTGCGTTCAAGCCGCCTCCCAATTTGTTTCCATGCCCTAAGCTCTGGAGTATACCAGGGAGCCAAACAGGCACCATGAAGTGGAAGAGGGTGCTAAGGGGTTATCATGTCAATGGCCCGAGTCATTTGGATGTTCCAGAGGTCAGCCAGGGCTTTGACGGGAGCTCCAATCATATCAACTGGAAAATCCCCCAGAGCCACCTGGAAACCCCTTGGGTCCACCAGCCTTCTATGGTGGGCCATCCTTATAGATCTCCCACCTCTGCACAGGGGGGAAGGTGCTAAAAGCCTAAATCTCAACAGGAAGTGATCTGACCATGACACGGGACTGATTTCAATGTCCCCCACTTTCAAATCACTGTCTTCCAGCCCAGGTTATCCAGACCTTGTTGCTGACTGCAAAAGTTCAAGTTTCAAGGTCCTCAAAATGTTTGTTGTTTAGTCGTTTAGTCGTGTCCGACTCTTCGTGACCCCATGGACCAGAGCACGCCAGGCACTTCTGTCTTCCACTGCCTCCTGCAGTTTGGTCAAACTCATGTTCGTAGCTTCGAGAACACTGCCCAACCATCTCGTCCTCTGTCGTCCCCTTTTCCTTGTGCCCTCCATCTTTCCCAACATCAGGGTCTTTTCCAGGGAGTCTTTTCTTCTCATGAGGTGGCCAAAGTATTGGAGCCTCAGCTTCAGGATCTGTCCTTCCAGTGAGCACTCAGGGCTGATTTCCTTCAGAATGGATAGGTTTGATCTTCTTGCAGTCCATGGGACTCTCAAGAGTTTCCTTCAGCACCATAATTCAAAAGCATCCATTCTTTGGCGATCAGCCTTCTTTATGGTCCAGCTCTCACTTCCATACATCACTACTGGGAAAACCATAGCTTTAACTATACGGACCTTTGTTGGCAAGGTGATGTCTCTACTTTTTAAGATGCTGTCTAGGTTTGTCACTGCTTTTCTCCCAAGCAGCAGGCGTCTTTTAATTTCGTGACTGCTGTCACCATCTGCAGTGATCATGGAGCCCAAGAAAGTAAAATCTCTCACTGCCTCCATTTCTTCCCCTTCTATTTGCCAGGAGGTGATGGATCCACCACTATTTATAATCCCTCGCACCCTCTAAGGAGCTCTGAGGGAATAGTTCCCATTTTGTCCCCAACTTACTTATTAAGGTAGGCTAGGCTGAGAGAGCAACTTACTCAAAGCCAATAAATGAAGGTTGAGCATGGATTTTAACCTATGTTCTTACCAGTTTATATGAGAGCCAGTGTGATCTCATGGTCTAAATAAATAAATTGGGAAGAACATAGGTTAAAATTTTGCTATATGTGTTAATTTTTTTTTACACTAATTACATAAACCATTCACTTAGTTTCACATTCAGTTTAAATACAAAGGAGTCCTTTAATCCCCATGCCTACTTGGTTGTATTATAAGGGGAGATAAGTGGTTCCTTTAATTGTGTCCCATTGATTTGCTTTTGCTTTGCTTTTGTGAAATAAGCCTTGTTTGCTGTAATGAAACTTTTGTTTCCCCGGCTCTTCCATTTTCTGTCCTTTAAAAAATTCACCATTTATGACTCTCAGCTGAACAAAAACCTTTCCTTAAAAATGAGGAAAGCACAATGCCCTGTATTTCTGAAATCATTAGAATTGGCATGTAGACAATCAATGTGCTAAATGATGTAATTATCCAGAGGTCTTTTCCCCATTTAAACCAGTTAGAAAGTTAAAGGTTTGTTTTAGATCAATTCTCACCACTTTGTGTGCAAATTACACAACTGCCTTTTCCTTAACTTATCTCACGAATCCAATTCAATATGGGCACGGCCATTGAAAATGCTTCTTGATCATCAGTAACCCTCTTTGAATACTAACTTGGCTAAGCCTAAAACATGCAAAACTATAACTTATTTTCAATGAAGTCTTGGTGCCAGAGAAGGACAAATATCAGACAATCCACAACTGTCCCTTTATTCTCTGTCCCATGAATTAAATGTCACGGGCCTTTTTATTGCATCAGTATCTGCTTTTGTTAGCAGTCTGAGTTGCTAGTAAGCAAGATGCTTCCCCTCTTCTCCTTTTCTGTTTAGGGACAGACTAGGATCATGCTCTTATTCAATAAATAAAAGGAAAATTAAGTTTGAGAACCTATTGCATTCTAGAACATATAAACGGCCAGATCCTGAACTTCCTCACCCCTTGTAGGCCTATTTGACATGTCAGTCACCTGATCTCACAATGATATCAGGTGATCCAAATGAACATCTTTCCCTCCACGAGAAGGAAGGGGGTCCCGAGATCTATCACTCCCCCACCATCCCTTTGAGACCCTGTGGCCGGGGGCGGGGGAGGCCAAAGGCCCCAGGCCTACCTTCGCAGCGAGGAAGTCCAGCGATGTCCTCTCTGTAGAAGCTCTGGAGCCAACTGACGATTCCTAGGTAAGATCCTTCCCCTATTGTGTGGGCAGGATGGTCCCTCCCCCTACCTGGCCTGATCACCTTGGCAACGCCTCCTCAGGTGGGATAGGGCAACTGGCTGAGGTAGGCGGAGACCTCCAGGTATCCCACCTGGGGAAGGCGAAGCCAAGCATTTGCTAATGAGAACCACATAGGGTCCAGGGGGCTGCATGCGACCACGCAAAGGGCACCCCCCGTTTAATGTGGGGAGCGGTCATTGTGGCCATTGCTCAAGTTGTACCTTCAAGGATGTCCCTTTGCATCAGGTCAAGTGCAGTGAAAAGATGCCAAATTCAAAAGCCTAGCTTTTTGATCCTAAGGAAGAATTGGTTCATTTCTTTCCAGACAAGCTGTAAACAAGGTTTGTTCTCGACTTACCACTTGTATTTTTTATTTTTGCAGGGGGCAGGGAGAACAAACCATGAGCCTGGTGTTGGCTGGAAGGCTAAGCCAAGCCATGACTTAGTTCTTCGTAGCATGGCAGCATCAAGAGCAAGGAAGTAGCGAAGTGGCCCTAAATTCCACCATCTGCTCCATGATGCTGTGAGTTTACCTTTAAGCTATAGTTAAGCGTAAAGGTAAAGGTAAAGGGACCTGTGACCATTAGGTCCAGTTGTGGATGACTCTGGGGTTGAGGCACTCATCTCGCTTTACTGACCGAGGGAGCTGGTGTACAGCTTCCGGGTCGTGGCCAGCATGACTAAGCCGCTTCTGGCGAACCACAGCAGCGCATGGAAATGCTGTTTACCTTCCCACCGGAGCAGTATCCATTTATCTACTTGCACTTTGACATGCTTTCGAACTGCTAGGTTGGCAGGATCAGGGACCGAGGAACGGGAGCTCACCCCGTTGTGGGGATTCGAACCACTGACCTTCTGATCGGCAAGCCCTAGGTTCTGTGGTTTAACCCACAGCGCCGCCCACTATGGTTTAAAATGATGCGTGGATGCGGCTTGTGTGCGTTTCTTTTACAGTAAGGATAAAGGTAAAACAGGATGCTGGTGGCGCTGTAGTCTAAACCACTGAGCCTCTTGGGCTTGCCGATCAGAAGGTTGGCAGTTCGAATCCCCGCAACAGGGTGAGCTCCCATTGCTCGGTCCCAGCTCCTGCCAACCTAGCAGTTCAAAAGCATGCCAGTGCGAATAGATAGATAGGTACCGCTGTGGCAGGAAGGTAAATGGTGTTTCTGTGTGCTCTGGTTTCCGTCACGGTGTCCCGTTGCGCCAGAAGCAGTTTAGTCCTGCTGGCCACATGACCCAGAAAGCTGTCTGTGGACAAACGCCGGCTCTCTCAGCCTGAAAGCAAGATGAGCGCCACAAACCCATAGTTGCCTTTGACTGGACTCAACCATCCAGGGGTCCTTTACCTTTACCTTCTTTTACAGCACATAGCCATATTCAATAATACAAAAAATGATGCTTTTCAAGTAGTCCTCCTAACACTGATGCTTGGATGGAGCTATATTACGCATATCCAGCTTGTTTTCCTTTTCGTTTTTGGACAATGATCACACATTATTTCACATCTCAGCTGTATAGAGGTTTACATGTTAAGGCAGGAACTGCTTGGCTACACAATACAGTGGTACCTCGGGTTAAGAACTTCATTCGTTCCGGAGGTCTGTTCTTAACCTGAAACTGTTCTTAACCTGAAGCACCACTTTAGCTAATGGGGCCTCCTGCTGCCGCTGCGCCACTGGAGCACCATTTCTGTTCTCATTCTGAAGCAAAGTTCTTAACCTGAGGTACTATTTCTGGGTTAGCGGAGTCTGTAACCTGAAGCATCCGTAACCTGAAGCGTCTATAACCCAAAGTACCACTGTATATTATTTTGGCACTGCTACAGTTTCTAGTCTTGAATGTTGATTCTGCACATTTAGCATGCAGGCGGTTGCCATATAACTTGTGTTTGGCGCAAAAGGGTCATAGTAGTGCAAAAACGCACTTTTGACTATGGCTGTTAAACCAAAGGTGGTCAGCTGAAACATTTTTTCTTTGCCATCACACTTTCTTTCCTCTACAGTGGTACATCTGGTTACGTACTTAATTCGTTCCGGAGGTCCGTTCTTAACCTGAAACTGTTCTTAACCTGAAGCACCACTTTAGCTAATGGGGCCTCCTACTGCCACCGCCGCGCAATTTCTGTTCTCATCCTGAAGCAAAGTTCTTAACCCGAGGTACTATTTCTGGGTTAGCAAAGTCTGTAACCTGAAGCGTATGTAACCTGAAGTGTATGTAACCCGAGGTACCACTGTACTTACAAAGCAACACTCTAGTTACGTTCCCCAAAATACCTTTCTTCTACATGCACCCACACGCGTCTGAACACTATTCAAAGAAATGCTTCGCACAGCCACTACTAGTGCTAACAGCTTCTCTCCTACGAAGTAGAATTCCATCTTCTTACAAAGCGTGTTCTCCATAATAGGGAGCATGTGTTGCTGTGGGGGCCAAAAAGGCCACCCCACTGTTGTTGGGCATATTGGCCACATGCTGTGATTGGGCAAGGAGTGTTGCTGGGGAGAATGTTATGTTGCTAAAGTGTGGGAGGGGTCAGAGGTCTTAAATACAGGGCTCATAGCCTGGTGCCTTCTCTTGGGTTGCGTGCACCGGATCACCCGCCCACCCTCCCTGAAAAGGGGGGGGGGTTCGTTGTCCTATGACCTCGCTATGCCTGTCATGGGGTCGTCTGCCTTGGGGCAGGGGCCTGGTAGGAATTTTGTCCATTTGGCTGATTGGCTGTTGCCATTTGGTTTTTGCCTACTGCGTAGCAAATCGTCACAACTTGTAAGGTTGGCGGTTAGGCATTGGTTAAAATTGGTTGGTGGAGGGGTAAGTGCCTACCCCTCCAATGGTGGTGCGGAAAGGGAATTCTGTTAAAGGAATCCAGGGGCTTGCCATCCCTTTCGTCCTAGTCCCTGGCATCGGATTTGGGCTGTGCAAGCCCCAGGGCGCATGAGGGTGAGAGATGAGGGACTGATGCCCAACTTCATTTCTCCCCAATATGGTTCTCCCTGACTGGCTTCCGCTGGAATCCCGAAGTCAGTTCTGTCCCTGGGGCAAGGACAGATAGTCGTAACCAATGCCTAAGCAACCACTCACGTGTGTGTATTTAAATAAAGTTGTGGCCAAATTCATGTCAAAAACCTTAAACAAAAATTGATGTGTGAAGTGTGAGTTATTGGGGTGGCCTGGGGGACCTCAACGCGCAAAATGTATGTTTTTGTGAGGATGGGAACAGAAGATGGTACTTAAAAAAAACTACCACCCGTAATATTGGTCTCATGTACTATATGCTAGTCTAAAATGTGTTCAAGCAGCATAGCTGTCTCAGAAATCATAACTTTGTTGTGGTCATAGCTATTTAGCAACTGTTTCTGAATGATATAATTGTACCATATGGTGGCGAGGGACTAATACTACGGAAAATGCTCCAATTGTTACATTTTACCTGTGCTTCTGTGCACAATGGACCTTGCTTTTTATTGTCAGTCTCCTTTACCTCCACGCCTTTTTAATAGAGATATTAATTAAATTTCTTTCCTTTAATGAGCTACATACGTTACGCATTGGGGGGGTCAACAAAGTAAGTTTTAAAATCAATTATACAATTACGTATGTAGTAATGAGAGCACAGAACTAATTGCCTGCAGGGCAGTACTGTAACCTTCTCATAATGCAAGTTTCATTAGGGTAAGGTCTATTATTACAAGGAATCATGGAAATAATGGGGGTGGGTGTATTCAGCAAGAAATAATAAATGAGGGCCATTTCAAGATAAGAGAAGCTGTTTGCTGCTGTGAGTGTGATAGCAGGCCCCTAGACTGTATGTAAATAGATAGGGTCAAGTTTCCTTGAGTGCCCAGAGAACATTGTACAAGAATTAATTTTCATTCTATTCTGGAGAATGACGGAAGGAAGGTTTCTAATTATGCCCCCAGGCTGGATACAACCAAACTCTGTAACATGGCCAGGTATTTTTTATAAAATGTACAAGACATTCTCAGTACATACAGGTGATGTGAACTTGTGAAATGGCTTCTTATTCCTGAATCTGCTTCTTATTCCTGAATTTGCTTCTTATTCCTGAATTTGTATTGCATTAATGATGGCTGGTGGAAAGGATAGATACCTAAAGTTACAAATTTCACAAATTCTATTCCGTTTTAAAGTGTTTTGTCTTTATCTTTGCATTCAATACAAAGTCTTGTTTTTGTTTTAAGGTGTTTCCCACCATACACAGAATAATAGAATCGTAGAACTGTAAAGTTGGAAGCGACTCCAAGGGTCATCTAGACCAACCCCCTGCAATGCCGGAATCTCAACTAAAGTATCCCTGACAAGATGGCCATCCAACCTCTGCTTAAATACCTCCAAGGAAGGAGAGTCCCCCACCTCCCAAAGGAGTCTTCCACTGTCAACAGCTCTTACTGCCAGAAAGTTCTTCTTGCTGGAGCCATTGGTTCAAGTCCTACTGTCCAGAGCAGGAGAAAACAAGCTTGCTTCAATTTCCACATGGCAGCCCTTTAGATATTTGAAGATGGCTCTTATTGTGCCTCTCAGTCTCCTCTTCTGCAGGCTAAACATACCTGCAGCAACTCCCTTAACTGTTCTTCGTAAGGCTTAGTTTCCAAACCCTTGATCATCTTGGTTCCCCTCCTCTGCACAGGTTCCAACTTGTCAATATCCTTCTTAAATTGTGAATCCCAGAACTGGACACAGTATTCCAGGTGTGGTCTGACCAAGGCAGAATAGAGCAGTACTCTTACTTTCCTTAATTTGGACACTAGACTTCTGTTGATGCAGCCTAGAATAGTATTAGCTTTTCTGCTGAAGCATCACACTGTTGACTCATATTAAGCTTGTGGTTCACCAAGACCCCTAGATCCTGTTCCCATGTACTACTGGCAAGCCAGGTGTCCCCCATCTTATATTGGTGCAGCTGGTTCTTCCTGACATTTGTAGAATCTGACATTTGACCCTTTGAAATTCAGTCTGTTAGTTTTAGCCCAGTTCTCCAATCTGTTAAGGTCATCTTGAATCCTGATTCTGTCTTCTGCAGCATTAGCTACTTGCCCCAATTTGGTGCCATTGCAAATTTGATGAGCAGCCCCTCAATTCCTTTGACCAAGTCATTTGAACGACAACGGGCCCAGGACAGAACCCTGTAGCACCCCACTTGTCACTTATTTCTTGGAACCAAACTGACAACAGCAATCTGTTGTTGTTGTTTAGTCGTTTAGTTGTGTCCGACTCTTCGTGACCCCATGGACCAGAGCACGCCAGGCACTCCTGTCTTCCACTGCCTCCCGCAGTTTGGTCAGACTCATGCTGGTAGCTTCGAGAACACTGTCCAACCATCTCGTCCTCTGTCGTCCCCTTCTCCTTGTGCCCTCCATCTTTCCCAACATCAGGGTCTTTTCCAGGGAGTCTTCTCTTCTCATGAGGTGGCCAAAGTATTGGAGCCTCAGCTTCACGATTTGTCCTTCCAGTGAGCACTCAGGGCTGATTTCCTTCAGAATGGATAGGTTTGATCTGCTTGCAGTCCATGGGACTCCCAAGAGTCTCCTCCAGCACCATAATTCAAAAGCATCAATTCTTTGGTGATCAGCCTTCTTTATGGTCCAGCTCTCACTTCCATACATCACTACTGGGAAAACCATAGCTTTAACTATATGGACCTTCGTTCGCAAGGTGATGTCTCTGCTTTTTAAGATGCTGTCTAGGTTTGCCATCGCCTTTCTCCCAAGGAACAGGCGTCTTTTAATTTTGTGACTGCTGTCACCATCTGCAGTGATCATGGAGCCCAAGAAAGTAAAATCTCTCACTGCCTCCATTTCTTCCCCTTCTATTTGCCAGGAGGTGATGGGACCAGTGGCCATGATCTTCGTTTTTTTGATGTTGAGCTTCAGACCATATTTTGCGCTCTCCTCTTTCACCCTCATTAAAAGGTTCTTTAATTCATCCTCACCTTCTGCCATCAAGGTTGTGTCATCTGCATATCTGAGGTTGCTGATATTTCTTCCAGCAATCTTCATTCTGGCTTGGGATTCATCCAGCCCAGCCTTTTGCATGATGAATTCTGCATATAAGTTAAATAAGCAGGGAGACAATATACAGCCTTGTCGTACTCCTTTCCCAATTTTGAACCAATCAGTTGTTCCATATCCAGTTCTAACAGTAGCTTCTTGTCCTACATAGAGATTTCTCAGGAGACAGATGAGGTGATCAGGCACTCCCATTTCTTTAAGAACTTGCCATAGTTTGCTGTGGTCGACACAGTCAAAGGCTTTTGCATAGTCAATGAAACAGAAGTAGATGTCTTTCTTGAACTCTCTGGAACAGCAATCTGTACATTGACACAATAAACAATCCTGGGTCAAATCAAGCTGTAAACACAACCAGACACCTTTGCAAACTGTATTTATATATGGTATTCCCGTATGGCATTTTTATATGATATTCTTGACCATGCATCTGCATCATCAAGTTGCCAGACTCAGAGCATCTATTGTGAGCCAAACACACACACACACACACACACACAAAATAACATGTTTCGGCATGTCTTTATAGAAAGAAAGCCAGCCAGCGTTCTTTTTTCCCTTCCCTTTCAGCATAATTATCCTCTTAATTCCACCAGCTTTTAGTAAGGGCGAATTGCTACAGGATTAGCAAGCACCGTTCTAAAAACAATTTAATTCCCCCCAAGCACCACATCCATTAAAAAAAATTGGGATCAGTTTTTTAAAACCTCATTTATTTTTACAAACAAGGGACTCACAGTGTGTCCAGGGGAGCTCACTCACACAAATACTGAAAGGAATAAAGAAACAAACAACATGGTTGGTCAGGGAAGCTGGAGCTTGAGTATGTGTGGCCTTCAAGGCAATAGCTCCGAGCATGCTCAGAACAGATGCATGACTCAGATAGGTCTTCCAGGTTGTTGTTGTTGATGATGTTGTTGAATTTATATACCGCCCTATACCTGGAGGTCTCAGTAAGGTAAAGGTAAAGGGACCCCTGACCATTAGGTCCAGTCGCGGACGACTCTGGGGTTGCAGCACTCATCTTGCTTTATTGGCCAAGGCAGCCGGCGTACAGCTTCTGGGTCATGTGGCCAGCATGACTAAGCCGCTTCTGGCAAACCAGAGCAGCTCAGGGAAACACTGTTTACCTTCCCGCTGGAGCGGTACCTATTTATCTACTTGCACTTTTTGGCGTGCTTTCGAACTGCTAGGTGGGCAGGAACAGGGACCTGAGCAACAGGAGCTCACCCCGTCACGGGGATTCGAACCACGACCTTCTGATCGGCAAGTCCTAGGCCCACAGCGCCACCCGAGTCCCGGAGGTCTCAGTAGATCTTCCATTATTCAGACTCACTAGCATTATGTGGACTTTTCTCTGCCAGATGGAAATCCACCTCTAGAGAGGACATTAAAAAGGGGTTTGTGATATGACATGGGGAATCTGCTATTAAGAAGGAAAGGGGAAAGGCTAAAAATCCCACCGGCCAGATCCAAGGCTTTGGGCACTCTTCCGTTAGGCCTTGGCATCAGTGATATGGGAATTCTTTGAGAGGGGAGGGGAAAGAAATAAGCCTTTTTATTGCAACCCATTGAGCTTGTTCTGAAACAGGCCTAGATGCACACTTACAGTTTGACCTGAGTCAGAAGTGTTGGGAAACACCCTGGGGTCGCCCGCAAACCCCTGGAACTCTGAGCATCCTCCAATGTGCTCAGTGACATATATCAGCTTGATATATGCACACTAATCTTCTGGCATAACACAGCAGGAAGAGTGAGATATCGTAGATCTAAACTACTAATTATTTACACACTATATACAGACTGGACGCAGGTGGCACTGTGGGTTAAACCACACAGCCTAGGACTTGCCAATCCGAAAGTCGGCGGTTCGAATCCCAGCGACGGGGTGAGCTCCCGTTGCTCGGTCCCTGCTCCTGCCAACCTAGCAGTTTGAAAGCACGTCAAAGTGCAAGTAGATAAATGGGTACCAGTCCAGCGGGAAGGTAAACGGCGTTTCCGTGCGCTGCTGTGGTTCGCCAGAAGCGGCTTAGTCATGCTGGCCACGTGACCCGGAAGCTGTACGCCGGCTCCCTTGGCCAGTAAAGCGAGATGAGCGCTGCAACACCAGAGTCGGTCACGACTGGACCTAATGGTCAGGGGTCCCTTTACCTTTTTATAGACCGACTACAGCATAATGGCGACCGTTCTCTTCAGCTTCGAGAGAACAACCAGAAGGAAGTAAAAGCAAAAGTACATTACAAAGTACATACAATGGAAGAAAGATAAGGCTGTCTTCTGTCCCCACAGTCTTTTCAGACAGGTGTGTGATTCACACTGGTCACAATTTGCAGCATCGGCTGCATGAAATACTAACAAGAAGGGGCTGGTTTGTCCCCTTGCCACTGACTCCTTTTGTTTCCTCAGTCAAGACTCACCTGACAGTGGTAGCACAGGTACCTGTTAGAGCCTCCCCATCTCTTGGGGAAGAGAAGGGAGCCAGAGGTTGAGGAAGGTAAAGGTAAAGGACCCCTGGATGGTTAAGTCCAGTCAAAGGCAACTATGGGGTTGTGGTGCTTATCTCTCTTTCAGGCCAAGGGATAATAATAATAATAATTTATTATTTATACCCCGCCCATCTGGCTGGGCTTCCCCGGCCACTCTGGGCGGCTTCCAAAAGAATATTAAAATACTATAATACATCAAACATTAAAAGCTTCCCGAAACAGGGCTGCCTTCAGATGTCTTCTAAAAGCCTGGTAGTTGTTGTTCTCTTTGACATCTGGTGGGAGGGCGTTCCACAGGGAAGGCGCCACTACCGAGAAGGCCCTCTGCCTGGTTCCCTGTAACTTGGCTTCTCGCAGTGAGGGAACCGCCAGAAGGCCCTCGGTGCTGGACCTCAGTGTCCGGGTAGAACGATGGGGGTGGAGACGCTCCTTCAGATATACTGGACCAAGGCCGTTTAGGGCTTTAAAGGTCAGCACCAACACTTTGAATTGTGCTCGGAAACGTACTGGGAGCCAATGTAGGTCTTTCAAGACCGGTGTTATGTGGTCTCTGCGGCCGCTCCCAGTCACCAGTCTAGCTGCCGCGTTCTGGATTAGTTGTAGTTTCCGGGTCACCTTCAAAGGTAGCCCCACGTAGAGTGCATTGCAGTAATCCAAGCGGGAGATAACCAGAGCATGCACCACTCTGGCGAGGCAGTCCGCAGGCAGATAGGGTCTCAGCCTGCGTACCAGATGGAGCTGGTAAACAGCTGCCCTGGACACAGATTTGACCTGTGCCTCCATGGACAGCTGTGAGTCCAAAATGACTCCCAGGCTGCGCACCTGGTCCTTCAGGGGCACAGTTACTCCATTCAGGACCAGGGAATCCTCCACACCTGCCCGCCTCCTGTCCCCCCAAAACAGTACTTCTGTCTTGTCAGGATTCAACCTCAATCTGTTAGCCGCCATCCAACCTCCAACCGCCAGAGTTTGTCCACAGACAGCTTTCCAGGTCATGTGGCCAGCAGGACTAAGCTGCTTCTGGTGCGACGGGACACTGTGACAGAAACCAGAGCGCACAGAAACACCGTTTACCTTCCTGTTGCAGCGGTACCTATTTATCTACTTGCACTGGTGTGCTTTCAGACTGCTAGGTTGGCAGGAGCTGGGACAGAGCAATGGAAGCTCATCTAGTTGTGGGGATTCGAACCGCCAACCTCACTCAGTGGTTTAGATCACAGCGCCACCCGCTCCTTATATACATAGGTTGAGGAAGACCCTATGTTTAGGCAGGGTAGTGTCTAGGCTCGCATCTCTCTCTCCCCCCACCCCTGATCATTGGGAACGTGACAAGGCCTTGGAAAGAAAGGTTTTATTTTAATTTTAGTTTGAAAATGAATTATTTTACCCAAATTATTTTCCAGATTGGGCCCGGGAAATCTCACCAACCACTACTTGGGATTCTATCCTATGTATCTATTCTCGCCCCCCTGAGATGCACTGCAACGTTTAAAACCTATTACAAAGAAAGCTAATTTCAGAGTGAAGCCAAAGACCTCCCATTGCATTTTGCATTACCCAGACCTCTGACAGGCCTATTCAGTGAGGCCTTTCTGATATGTTGTGGAGATTTTGAAAGTAAAGAATTGCAAGAAATGCAATTTAATCCCAAAGTCATTACCTAAATGCTGAGATAGGATAGGGATTACCACCAATGTAAATGAGATATGAGACAGCCAATGGATTACAAGACCCTTTCTTTAGGATGACTTCAGCAAATAGGCTAAGATAAGGAAATCTTTGTAATTACATGGAGCTACAGTGGTCAATTCTGACTTAAATACTAAAGGGATCCAGAAAAAAGAAAGTCAGAAAAACCTACATGTGTTATTCAGTGCAAAATTAAGTATTTCCTTTTTAATTCTGCGCAATCAATAGAAGAGCATCTCACCAAATGAAAAGGCGAGGGCTGACTACATGTCCCTTTGTGACTGGTATCATTTCATCATTTGGGTAATATCATTTCCAAATTAAATTTTATGGTCCATTACATACGAGCTCAAACACTTTTCTAATGGAATCTTAAATAGAACTGACTTGCTTTGCGTGGGGTTTGTCTCTCAGTTAAGATGTTATTTAGTTCTAATTATCAAATAATGAACTCAGGAAATTTAATTTTTAATATTTATATGTCAGAAGTCTATTGTTCGTGGGCTTAAGGTTTTAAATTAAAAATTAACATGGATGGAATACTCAGTGAATGTTTCCTCTGGGAGTGAGAACTGAGGTTCTGAGCATTCAGATTGCTGTTGTTTACCCCAAAGCGAAAAGTATCACCAGCCCTCCACAGAGAGGAAAAAACGAAGGATGTCCTCAGATAAACATCTAAATCTTGAGTCTCCTTTGAACCAGTGAGGAATCTTAATTTTAAAAAAGATATTATAGTACGATGAGTTTTGTTTATCTCCTCTCTGGAAGCCTGTCAAGCTAATTCCAATCAAAGATAGGTGCCTATATTACCCCCTTGCTACAATATAGTTGGCTAATATTCCGTGTTAATCATACTCGGAATAAACACATTGAAATCAATTGACATAAAATTGAAGTCCTCTGATTTCAATAGGTCTGCTCTCTGACTAATGTTAGCAGTCACCCTGTGAAATATACTCAGAGTCAAGAGTGGATTTCATGCTCTTTATTTAGCTCATAGTGGTGAGGAGGAATGGAAGTTCCCCTACAATATCTGCTTTATATACATTATTTACACAATGGGCTGCACGTGATTGGCTAATTCCGGGATTCTCCTGTAGGCCAATCAGGTTGTGGAGTCACTTCCACCTGGAGCTGGATTGGGTGGCTCCTGCAGACCAGTCATACTGCTGCATTGTTCTAGGACCAATCAGACTGCTGCATTCTGAATCCTATTGTTCTAGGACCAATCAGACTGCTGCATTCTGAATCCTATTGTTCTAGGACCAATCAGACTGCTGCATTTTGGATCCTATTCAACTCAGTACATAACACCCTGTGTCTTATATGTATGGATATACCCACCATGCATTTTGGAAAGTGGTTTGTTCGGCTATCTGTTAGGACACCTCTTGAAATACCATTGGCCAATATGATTTGACTGTGGAGAAGCTGGGTTCTGTCAATGTTTGGATGCCAGGCGCCATTTTGAATCATGATGGCAGATAGAAACATTCCAAACTGCATCAATAAGGAGAAATGGTAACCAAATCTGGTGTGACTGTTCCAAACTGCACCAATTTGGATGCCTCTGAAGATCTGATTGTTCAGTTTGGCATGGCTGTTCCCATGGTGGGGAGCAGCTTTTGGCAATTTGGAGTCACAATGGGAGACAGAACCATTCCAAACTGCACTGTATTTGGACACCTCTGACAGTACTGTTGGCCAACTTGGCACGGCGGTACCCCAGGAGTGGCTTTGGGTCTGTGTTTGGACATTGTCAGGTGCCATTTTGAATCAAGATGGCAGACCAAACTGTTCCCAACTGCATGCATTCAGACATCTTTTAAGACAGGGGTCAGCAAACTTTTTCAGCAGGGGGCTGGTCCACTGTCCCTCAGACCTTGGGGGGGTGTGTGTGTGGACTATATTTTGAAAAATAATAATGAACGAATTCCTATGCCCCACAAATAACCCAGAGATGCATTTTAAATACAGTGGTACCTCAGGTTAAGTACTTAATTCGTTCTGGAGGTCCGTACTTAACCTGAAACTGTTCTTAACCTGAAGCACCACTTTAGCTAATGGGGCCTCCTGCTGCCGCCGCGCCGCCAGAGCACGATTTCTGTTCTCATCCTGAAGCAAAGTTCTTAACCTGAAGCACTATTTCTGGGTTAGCGGAGTCTGTAACCTGAAGTGTATGTAACCTGAAGCGTATGTAACCTGAGGTACCACTGTAAAAGCACACATTCTACTCATGTAAAAACACGCTGATTCCCAGACCGTCCGTGGGCTGGATCCAGCCCCTGGGCCTTAGTTTGCCTACCCATGTCTGAAGATATCATAACCAAATTTGGTGTGAGGGTTCCTGAGATGGAGGAGTGGGGTTTTGTCTATGTCTGGAAACCTCTGGAAATGTCTGGAAACTTGATTTTGAATCAAGACTGTAGACTCCACTTTTAAAAACTACACTGATTATAACCAAATTTGGCAGGAAACCAGGAGTTTTTTTCTAGACAGAACTTGCCGGAACTCGTTTCCACCACCTCTCAGGTGGGTACCACTGCCATTATAAGAGAACAAGGGAGGTGTTCATGGTGAGTTCAGGCACCTCTTTTTCTAGAAAAATAGCACTGTAGGAAACTAATAGTGCTACACGCCAGATTTGGCCAGCAAGTCAGGAACAGGTCCTGGTCAATCCACCTGGAGTGATCTGGGGCTGTAAGGGGCAGTGTGTTTCACTAGTTGTTGAACAGAGGGGCTTCAGTGTTGTTCGTCTAGTAGATGAAAAGCGCTTGACTGGAAGATACAAAGGATTGCTGCTGTTTGACTTATTGAGCATTGGTCCTGATGAGTTTGCAGAGAGATTAGACAATGTGTACAGAAAATGTTATCCCACACTTCCATTCCTGCTTTCAGGGGAGGGAAATTTGCCTCAGCCCTCCAGGGGAAAAGAAACTCAATGTGCTCTTTAGCCACCTGGGATTCTAGGAGGGGGCAGGCTAGCCTGAAATTTTGCAGAGCCCCCCTCACGTAGGGTTGCCCTATTTCAAAATATGAACACAAAAATATGAACACAAAAGTTGCTGAGCTTTTCTTGGCCAAAGATTTCCCCGGACAGTTCAACAATTTTCGCCTGGGCGCTGCTTAAGGGGGCTGAAGAACTGTCTATGTCCAGAAAATTCTGAATGGGTGGCAACCCTGAACATTCTGAACATATAACAATGGGGACTCTCTTTTTTTTTTTTTTAAATATTTATTAAAGTTTCAAGAAATACAAAAAAGAAAAAGAAAAAGAAAAATATACAGAGTACAAAATATAGCAAAAAATAGAGAATAAAAAAGAAACATACAAAATAAAACAGTTAAAAAGACATTGATTTTCCAAACCTATCTTCCCTTCTCTTATTTCCCCGGACCTCCTCATACCTCCCTTCTTTGTATTCCAGTTCAGTTTGTTAGTTCAGCAAATCCTTACCATTAAACTTTTACCCAATTGTTAACCTTTTTTTTCATATCTCTTAAAGCATTACAGCTAAAAACCTCTTAGTTTCTATCCAACATCCTTCTAAAGTTCCTTAATTTTGCAATATTTCTGTAAATAGTCTTTAAATTTCTTCCAGTCTTCTTTCACCGATTCTTCTCCCTGGTCTCGGATTCTGCTGGTCATTTCCGCCTCTCTTTTTGGCATTATTTGGCTGTTTGGCATCCAGGTACGGCCTTAATTCACTGCCACTGTGAGACACTTTGCGGGTAAGGGGTACTCTTGAGTCATCACCCGTAGCCATTCGAGGGGGGATTTGGGTGCCTACACACCATGGTGAACACTGAACCATAGGGTCTGGGTACATAGGTTGGGCTTCAATTGCCAAAGTCTCACTTAGTCAAGAGGGGTATATTTCTCCCCCACCTTTGGCTGGGGTGCCAACAACATGCAAGCTTACATGCCCAGGGAGGTCACTGATTCCTCCTGCTCACACTTAGTTATTTAACCAGTTCGCAGATTCTCTAATTTGTTAAATTGTAATACAGTGGTTGGGACGCAGGTGGCGCTGTGGGTTAAACCACAGAGCCAGGACTTGCCGATCAGAAGGTCTGTGGTTCGAATCCCCGCGACGGGGTGAGCTCCCGTTGCTCAGTCCCAGCTCCTGCCAACCTAGCAGTTCGAAAGCACGTCAAGCTGCAAGTAGATCAATAGGTACCACTCCGGCGGGAAGGTAAACGTCGTTTCTGTGCGCTGCTCTGGTTCGCCAGAAGCGGCTTACTCATGCTGGCCACATGACCCGGAAGCTGTACGCAGGGCTCCCTCGGCCAATAAAGTGAGATGAGCGCCGCAACCCCAGAGTCAGTCACGACTGGACCTAATGGTCAGGGGTCCCTTTACCTCCCTTAATACGTGGTACCTTGGGTTACAGACACTTCAGCTTACAGATGCTTTAGGTTCCGTACTCTGCTAACCCAGAAATAGTACCTCGGGTTAAGAACTTTGCTTCAGGATGAGAACAGAAATCGCGTGGCGGCAGTGGGAGGCCCCATTAGCTAAAGTAGTACCTCAGGTTAAGAACAGTTTCAGGTTAAGAACGGACCTCCAGAACGAATTAAGTTCTTAACCCGAGGTACCACTTTAAATATAAGCTTTTTCATCACTTGATTACTTGTCCCGAGTCTTCTTTCTGGGTACAATTCCCATCACTTTTCTTATCACAAAAATTTGGGGATGACGCAGGTTTGTTGAGCAAGGACGCCAACTCAACTTTGGTTGTGCAACTTGAATTAACCGGTATGTAATCGATTCCCACCTTGAAAATAGCAACAGTCTGGAAGCACACAAAGGATTTTTTAGGATCTCTGTGTATCTGGTTCTTCCTTCATGTCACCTGCGGAACCCAATTCATGTCTGAAAAAGAACCCCCTTCTGGACTTTGGACATCAGGTTGCCCTCCTGCATATCCTTGGTAGACTTAAAGGTAAAGGGACCCCTGACCATTAGGTCCAGTCGCGGACGACTCTGGGGTTGCAGCGCTCATCTCACTTTACGGTGTACAGCTTCCGGGTCATGTGGCCTGCATGACTAAGCTGCTTCTGGTGAACCAGAGCAGTGCACGGAAACGCTGTTTACCTTCCCACCGGAGTGGTACCTATTTATCTACTTGCACTTTGACATGCTTTCGAACTGCTAGGTTGGCAGGAGCAGGGACCGAGCAATGGGAGCTCACCCCGTCGCGGGGATTCGAACCGCCGACCTTCTGATTGGCAAGCCCTAGGCTCTGTGGTTTAACCCACAACGCCACCCGCGTTGTGTACCCGTTGGTACACTTAAAAGGTAAAGGTAAAGGGCCCCTGACCATTAGGTCCAGTCGTGGCCGACTCTGGGGTTGCGGCGCTCATCTCGCTTTACTGGCCGAGGGAGCCGGCGTACAGCTTCCGGGTCATGTGGCCAGCATGACTAAGCTGCTTCTGGCGAACCAAAGCAGCGCACGGAAACGCCATTTACCTTCCCCCCCTGGAGCGGTACCTATTTATCTACTTGCACTTTGACGTGCTTTTGAACTGCTAGGTTGGCAGGAGCAGAGACCGAGCAACGGGAGGTCACCCCGTTGCGGGGATTCAAACCGCCAACCTTCCGATCGGCAAGCCCCAGGCTCAGTGGTTTAACCCACAGCGCCACCTGTGTCCCTTTGGTACACTTACTCCCTTTTTAAATCGGTGAACTCATGTGTCTAGGATTGCAACATCAGTTAATTCAAAACCATTTACCTATTCCTTCTGCTGCCTATCTCTGAGTGTTGCTTTGCATATTATGAGAAGCCATGGAAAGCAGGTGCACAGATGACTTGTGTTTCTGACTTACCTGCTTTCCTGTGAAATGTTCTGAGTGCAAATGATACTGTTATCAGTCCCCCCTTTGCTGCAGCTTGTGTCAGGAAGCAATCCCCAATGAAACATCCATAGAATGGAGAGGTTTGTGCTGTGTACAGCATTGCACTTGCAAAGGCTGCAACCCTGTTATTTATTTTTAAATCAGCAAATGGAAAAACACACGTTTAAAGCACTTGTTATATTTTACCTGAAACTTCCCTGGTCTTTTATTACCTGAAAAGACTGTGTTAGCATGGCTCTCAGCTGGTATAATGGTACTTTTTCTAATTCGCTTTGTGTAATTGAATAGTAAATTAGTTTGATTAATAAACACCTACAGCAACTCAATAGTACGAATTTAAGCTGCCGTGCTCCCATAAATATGAGCGCTGCTTGCTAAAGCAGACTCTCTGATTTTTTTATTGTTTCTTCTTGAATACTTGAAATAACAACAGTAACAACAACATCTCAATGTGGTTTTTTTTTGAACTTCAACCTACAACTGATTAATTTGCATGATTAATCAGCTATACCTTAAGCTAAAATATTCTCTTCTGTTCTTCCTCCCAGTTAAATGATGGGATTCTATCACAAGCAACAGAGTTTTGAAGTCAGGATTCTCAAAGGGGAAACTGCCGTGGTCTTCAGAAATTGTGCTTCATTCGGCTTAGTGTCCAAGCTGATCTATAAATACTTGCAAAAACATGAGAGGTAAAACTCAAACCATCATAGCAGCAGTATTCCCTCTTTTTAAAAGCTTTTTATTGCTTTATTGATTTTAAAAAGAAAATTACTATCAAGAAAAAGAATATATATATATATATAAAAACCAAAGAGTATTACAATTTACAAAAGATAAATTAATTTTAACAACACAGCTTCTATTATGACTTCCATTCATCCCATCAGGGGTCCTAGTTTTCTTATGAGTAGTGCACTTTTCATTATCACTCCAAACTTTTCCCCAATTTTCATATGCTTTCCCAGGAGTCTGTCTAAGTCTAAGCCTACCAAAGAATTCACATTTTTACAATGCTCTTTAAGGTATTTTCTGTAAATGTCCCACTCTCCAATAAATGCTTCTTCTGTATTATCTCTAATTCTTCCTGTCATTCTTGCTATTTCTGTATATTCCAATAATTTCACAGTATTCTCAACTGGTTGATTATAAACATTGCATCATGGTCATTATCCTAAACTTGCATGCCTATTAGAGATATATAGAATTCCCTGGCCTCCATTTTGTTACTCCATTGTTCTTAAAGGTAAAATTCATTTTGTTTTAATTATTTATTAAATATTGTCAATATCCAAACCACCCGTCACCAGTGACCTTTGTCCAAGGGGTACTTACAACAATTGGTTAATAATCCATGGAGATCATGTTCAGTTCATCTTTACATTAATTTTCTCTCCCTTTCTTTAACTATTCTTGGATGCCACCATTTCATTTACTCAGAATACCTTCAATGTTGTATCATTGCTGTAAATCGGGTCCTCTCTTAAAGAGGGCACATATTGCGGTGAGACCTTGACAACCGATACCCTGTGTTGTGGGTGGGTACATTGGTCAGCCAAACACCTGATTGGTAGGTCCCTTGAAGCTGGGTGCAATCTGGCCAATGGGACGCAGTCTAAACGGTTCGAGGGACCTATTTATGCCCATGCACATGACTCAGAGCTTCCTTTTTCGGCACGTGCATTTAAAACACCCGCCCACCTCTCCCTACTTTTAGGGCTTGTTGCACTTGACTTTGCTATGCCGTCGTGTGTCGTCTGTCGTTGGGACAGGGGCACGGCAGGAATTTTCCCCACTTGGCTGATTGGCTGTTGCCATTTGGGTTTTGCCTGCCACATAGCAAATACTCACAACTTGTAAGGCTGCGGATAGGCTCTGGTTCAGGTGACAGGGATGGGAGAACGCTCTCGCCATCCCTATGTGAAGGGTATTCCGTTAAAGGAATCCAGGGACTTGACGGTTTGGTCAACCCCCGAGAAGGGGTTGTGCCTGTGCCTGAAAGATTTGGGTTACACAGTCTATGATGGTAGGTCACCCCTAGCATATGACTTGTGGATCTGAAGCAAGGGTGGGCCCTGGGGTGTGTGATGAGGGCTTGGGCAGAACAGCGACGGGGTTGGAGTACCACCTTTGGGAGAGAGGTCAGAAGCAGCTATAAGTGGAACCATTTTGTATGGAACTCTTGGTATCCGGAAGACTCTGTGTGACTTCAGAAGGCAGCTTAAACTGATCATATTCAGTAGTTCCCCTTCTATATTAGAGAGGTCGCAGCTGGCTTTATCAAAGATTGAAGAGGATGGGACGCAAAAACAAAAGGCAGATAGGCAGAAGACAAAGCATATTTCACCCTCAGCATGTATTTGTTCTGCTGCTTTTGATTTAATCTGAATATCTTCATGTGTGCTCAAGGAAACCTTTTTGGCCTAGGAGAGTCTCTCTCAACACACTGGGGAATGTGCTCTGTTTTTCCATTAGGCTAAGATGTATGATTTAACAAACCAACAAATTATCTTTCCATTTCTAATTGATTTAAAAACAATTGCTTTGCTGTTGCTTCACAGGAGGCTGGGTCTTTAATTGTCACAAGGTCACTTTGTAAGTTTTAATTGCTGGGTGCTGTTCTGTCCTTTCATGGCTTTCAAGGTGATAAATGGTTCTCCGGTTCAAAAGCTAGTCTATATAAACAAGCTTATCTCTGCCCATAGTCTTCAATGAAAAATGAGTTGTGAGTATCATTGTTAATCATGGTAATTGTTAATGTTAAGAGGGCTGGTATTATGAGTTTTCCTATTAGACTTTCAATTCATTATATAAAATGAACAATCTAGTAGCCATCTAGAGCATTCTAATTTTAATTAACCAGCGGCTGCATTTCAGGTGATCCTCTTCTTCATGGAAATTAGCAAAATCTTGCAGAGGCACACACAAAGGCTCAGTTCTCCAATAGCTGTGCCCTGATTTTTATATTTGGGGTTAGTTTGATAGGTGCATCTCTCCTCGTGGACACTTAGGGAGGCTTACATCCAATATGCAACTGGTATTAATTTCTTCAGTTTCCTGTAGCAAAGCAATGGTTTCAGTGGCGTGTGATGAATTTTTCCGTAGGGGAACAGTAAGGGCCAGAGGTGCCAGCTATCAAGGGCGATTGGGGCGGACGGGACGTCAAGCATGCCTCCCTCCCTAATAAATAATAATAATAATAAATTTTATTTATATCATGCCCTCCCCAGCTGAAGCCGGGCTCAGAGCAGCTAACAACAATAAAATAATACAACATTCTAAAATCATTTCATTCTAAAATTAATTCAAATCCAATTGATGGCAACCATTGGGCTAGAGTTCTGTGAAGATTGCCAAAGGAAGGAGTTAGGCTGTGCCCTGGCCAAAGGCTTGGTGGAACAGCTCTGTCTTGCAGGCCCTGCGGAAAGATGTCAAGTCCCGCAGGGCCCTAGTCTCTTGTGACAGAGCGTTCCACCAGATCGGAGCCACAGCCGAAAAAGCCCTGGCTCTAGTTGAGGCCAGCCTAACCTCTCCGTGACCTGGGACCTTCAAGATGTTTCTGTTTGAAGACCGTAAGGTCCTCCGTGGGACATACCAGGAGAGGCGGTCCCGTAGGTATGAGGGTCCTAGGCCGTATAGGGCTTTAAAGGTTAAAACCAGCACCTTAAACCTGATCCTGTACTCCACCGGGAGCCAGTGCAGCTGGTATAGCACTGGGTGGATGTGATCTCGCAGCGAGGACCCCTAAGCCGGGCAGAAGCTTCCTGGGCTTTGGGAAGGAGGCTCCAGGCTTTAATACTCTAATTTACCAGGGACATTTAGGCGGACTCATAGCTAGGGAGGGTCTAGCCAGGGTTTCGGCTCCGGGCGAAGCTTCCAGGGGTTGCCATTGAGGCTCCCAGCCTCCCAGCATGTCTGGGCTTCAGCAGGAAAGAGGAAAAAGTGAATGGCAGCCACGAGCCCCCCGTCCTTCCCCTTTCCCCATGAAGCTGAAGAAGGCTCATTTGTGTGTCGAGACCCCGCAGCCACCCCCTTGTTGGAAATAACTCACACAAGGACACAGATATTAGGTTTATGTTATTGGGCAAATTTTGGCCACAACTTTATTGAGTTACAGAATGTGAGCGGTATTGGCTTAGGCATTGATTGGACCTGACTATATCTGATTCCTGCCCATTGTGCAGGAAGTCCGCTAAGGGTAAGCCACTGGTAGGGGGAGCCCTGTCGATGCGAACCAACTCAAGCTCCCCCTGGTGTTCCCGTCGGGGTCGTGTCAAGGCCTTAGCCCCCCAGCCGGGCTTCAGACTAGAACAACACCCCCGGATTCCTTTAATGGAATACCCTTAAGCATGGAGGGGCAGGTGATGGGCACACCTCCCCTCCCCCCCACAAGGTCAAACAATGCCTAACTGGAACCCTAACAAAGTTGTGGTGATTGCTATGAGGTAGGCAAAAACCTACCCGTTGCTCGGTCCCTGCTCTTGCCAACCTAGCAGTTCGAAAGCACATCAAAGTGCAAGTAGATAAATAGGTACCGCTCCAGCGGGAAGGTAAACTGCGTTTCCATGCGCTGCTCTGGTTTGCCAGAAGCGGCTTAGTCATGCTGGCCACATGACCCGGAAGCTGTATGCCTGCTCCCTCGGCCAATAAAGCGAGATGAGCACCGCAATCCCAGAGTCGGTCACGACTGGACCTAATGGTCAGGGGTCCCTTTACCTTTACCTATGCGAAAACCAAGTGGCCAGTGCCAATTTGCCAAGTGGAAAAATTCCTACCAGGCCCCTTGGACAACCAAGGCGACGAGCCGAAGTCCATAGCAAGGCCATTACCTAACCTGCAAAATAGGGAGGGAGGGCAGGTGATTGAGGAAGCGAGCCAAAGAGGAAGTCCTCTGGCGTCCCTTACATGGCACCTTAAATGACTACAAAAGTATCGTTTCCTAAGATAAGTAATCAAACAAAAATAAAATGGAAAGGAATCTTGTTGAAGCTTACTTGGGAGTAAATTTACAAAGAACCAAGAAGAGGGGTGGGTGGCAAAAAGCCTCAAAAAGGAAGAAAAAACAATTTTAAGAGGAAACCAGCTTAAAAAATGGGTAAAGGACCCCTGAAAGGTTAAGTCCAGTGAAAGTCTACTATGGGGTTGCGGCCCTCATCTCACTTTCAGGCCGAGGGAGCCGGTGTTTGTCCACAGACAGCTTTCTGGGTCATGTGGGAACTTGTGTCTCTCTAGATGTTGCTGGAATACAATCATAAGACGCTAAAAAGAGCCTGCTCCAGCATCCTGTTGTCATAGGGGCCAACCAGATGCTTAAATAGGATTTGAGCAACTGGAATTCAGGAGTATTACTGTGTGCTGCTGTGAAGACAGAACATTGCCATTGTAGTGGGGTAGGGGAGCTGAAAATAAGGCCAATATATTTCGCATCTGGCAAACTGAAATATACTCAGAGTCAAGAGTGGATTTCACGCTCTTTATTCAGCTCATAGTGATGAGGAGGAATGAAAGTTCCCCCAAAGTATCTGCTTTATATACATTATTTACACAATGGGCTGCACATGATTGGCTAATTCTGGGATTCTCCTGTAGGCCAATCAGGTTGTGGATTCACTTCCACCTGGAGCTGGACTGGGTGGCTCCTGCAGACCAGTCATTCTGCTGCATTGTTCTAGGACCAATCAGACTGCTGCATTCTGAATCCTATTGTTCTAGGACCAATCAGACTGCTGCATTTTGGATCCTATTGTTCTAGGACCAATCAGACTGCTGCATTTTGGATCCTATTCAACTCAGTACATAACACAAACAATGTGCCCCTTGGGTTTCAGATAGTCAAATCCCCATGACGGAGTGAGCTCCCGTTGCTCTGTCGCAGCTCCTGCCAACCTAGCAGTTCGAAAGCACACCAATGCAAGCAAATAAATAGGTACCACTGTGGCAGGAAGGTAAGTGGCGTTTCCATGCACTCTGGTTTCCATCATGGTGTTCTGTTGCACCAGAAGCGGTTTAGTCATGCTGGCCACATGGCCTGCGTGGGCAGGGGAAGGACTAGACCATGGGTAGGCAAACTAAGGCCTGGGGGCCAGATCCGCCCCAATCGCCTTCTAAATCCGGCCCGCGGACAGTCCGGGAATCAGCATGTTTTTACATGAGTAGAATGTGTGCTTTTATTTAAAATGCATCTTGGGTTATTTGTGGGGCATAGGAATTTATTCATTTCCCCCCCAAAAATATAGTCTGGCCCCCCACAAGGTCTGAGGGACATTGGACCGGCCTCCTGCTTTAAAAGTTTGCTGACTCCTGGACTAGACCATATGAAAAATGAACACAATATTTTAGCCGCAGTTCATTCATTTTCAGCTTTGTATTTTTGTTATTAATAAAGCATGCCTAAAAAAGCAGAGACATCACCTTGCCAACAAAGGTCCGTAAAAGCTATGGTTTTCCCAGTAGTGATGTATGGAAGTGAGAGCTGGACCATAAAGAAGGCTGATCGCTGAAGAATTGATGCTTTTGAATTATGGTGCTGGAGGAGACTCTTGAGAGTCCCATGGACTGCAAGAAGATCAAACCTATCCATTCTGAAGGAAATCAGTCCTGAGTGCTCACTGAAGGACAGATCCTGAAGCTGAGACTCCAATACTTTGGCCACCTAATGAGTAGAGAAGACTCCCTGGAAAAGACCCTGATGTTGGGAAAGATGGAGGGCACAAGGAGAAGGGGAGGACAGAGGACGAGATGGTTGGACAGTGTTCTCGAAGCTACCAGCATGAGTTTGACCAAAGTGCGGGAGGAAGTGGAAGATAGGAGTGCCTGGCGTGCTCTGGTCCAGGGGGTCAAGAAGAGTCGGACACGACTAAACGACTGAACAACAACAAACAAGACATTCTGTTTTTGCGCCCATAACCTAGGTTTAAGGTGCCCTTTAGCTCCTAGGGTCCCTATCTTAGTTTCTAACACTGCCACAGACACATTGGAAGTGAGATCTCTGGTGATTTTGGTGAGGGAGGTTTCAGCGGAGAACAGACGGTAGACGCCTCATTAAAGAGGGTCAAGAGAAAAGTTGTGGGGAAGAAAATGGAAACACGGGAGTAAACAGCACACACTAGAGTTCAGTCATGAAGGGTGGAAGAGAAATTGGATCTTGAAGCAAGCCATAGACGAATTTGTGACTATCTCCAGTTGACTTGGGACGCGGGTGGCGCTGTGGGTTAAATCACAGATCCTAGGTCTTGCCGATCAGAAGGTCGGCGGTTTGAATCCCCGCGATGGGGTGAGCTCCCATTGCTCGGTCCTTGCTCCTCCCAACCTAGCAGTTCGAAAGCACATCAAAAGTGCAAGTAGATAAAAAGGTACCGCTCTGGTGGGAAGGTAAACGGCGTTTCCGTGCGCTGCTCTGGTTCGCCAGAAGCGGCTTAGTCATGCTGGCCACATGACCCGGAAGCTGTACGCCGGCTCCCTCGCCCAATAAAGCGAGATGAGCGCCGCAACCCCAGAGTCGGTCAGGACTGGACCTAATGGTCAGGGGTCACTTTACCTTTACCTTTTACCAGTTGACTTAGGCAGCGGAAGCCCAGCTGTGGGCGCCCCTCCTGCCTTGCCGCCTCCACCGTCAGCACTGATTTTGTTGTGTTTTGGGGTTCTTTGGTACAATTTTTATTGATTTTCTTTTCTCATAACAAATATTCAATATCTTTACTTAACATTCATTTCCCAGTCCCCCCCCCCCCCCCGTTGACTTCCCCCAACTTCCATTTCTGGTTTGTTCCACCAAATGTTACAATCTGCTGTTTATACATAATATTATGTTGTCACCTGTTATATTTCTTGTTCTCTGTAAATAAAATTGTAAATGCTTGTTTAAATCCTGCCAACGAGTCCATTCTTTTTTTGTTTTTGTTTCTGCAAGTAAGTTGTAAAAGGTTCCCATTCCTTTTCAGAGTCACTATTGTCCTTTTCACGCAATTTGTCCATTAGCTTTGCTAGCTCTGCATAGTTCATCAGTTTTTTTTTGCCATTGTTCTTTAGATGGTATTTCTCCAGTCTTCCAGTTTTGTGCTGTTAGAATTCTTGCTGCGGTTGCAGCGTACATAAATAATGTCCGATTTTTCTTCGGCAATTCTTGTCCTAACAAAAAAAGCTTCTGATTTTGGACATGGTCACGTCCTGAGATCTTCTGGAGCATGCAAGATCTCATGCGATTTGGTCTTGCCCCAAATCACCACAATCTTGCCCAAAATCGGCATCAATAGCAGTGGCAATGTGTTTTAAAAATGCAATCTGTCTGTGCATGGATGAAATCATGCAAATTTGCTATGCTAAAAAGAAAGCAAGTAAAGGTAAAGGGACCCCTGACCATTAGGTCCAGTTGTGGCCGACTCTGAGGTTGCGGCGCTCATTTCATTTTATTGGCCAAGGGAGCCGGCGTACAGCTTCCAGGTCATGTGGCCAGCATGACTGAGCTGCTTCTGGCGAACCAGAGCAGCACACGGAAACACTGTTTACCTTCCTGCCAGAGCGGTACCTATTTATCTATTTGCACTTTGACGTGCTTTTGAACTGCTAGGTTGGCAGAAGCTGGGACCGAGCAACGGGAGCTCACCCCGTCTTGGGGATTCGAACCGCCGACCTTCTGATCGGCAAGTCCTAGGCTCTGTGGTTTAACCCACAGCACCACCCGCATCCCAAAAAGAAAGTAAGAAGTCTCAAAAACGAAGGAGGAAACACAAGACAATGGCCAGAAAGACGATAGTTGGAGACTTTTGCAAAGACCAGTCATTCAGATGCATGTACTAATTTAATGAGTTGGCATGGGGGGGGGAAGGTATCTCACAAAGCGGAGCAAAACCAGTGACATATCGTGGAATGGGCTGTAGTCTTTGAACCCTCCACATGCAATTCTTTGTAGTGAATTGTGTGAAAAATCGCCCATCTGTGTGCACCATAAAGTTATAGAGTGTCTGCAGTAGGTAGTAGAAAGGAAATTGTGTAATAATTCAATATTTTCATGCTTGCTGCATTACAATTATGATGTTAATTAATTATCTGCCTGGCAGTTAACACCATCCAGAGGCATGGTTGCGGTTGACTTGGTGCTGTTCTGCTAGCAGTGAGTAATTAACCTCTCCTCTTCTCTGGGATTCTCTACAAGATGATCATCATGTTGATGATATAATTATTATTAATTCAGTTTCTGTGTTTCGTTGACATTGTTAATTACTTGTCGGTAATCAGCTAATGTTTAATCTTCATTGTTGGATAGCTTCTTAAAAGGCTGCTTTAAATGGTTCAGAGGGGCTTCCACCATAACCTCAGTGCCTGAAGTGCCAGGAAGATCAGCAGTCGGAATAAATTACCTAAATTATCTTCAAATCAGGATTTCTGGATCTAATTAGATTGCTGTTGGCTTTGTTATATGCAGGATACGGAGCTACCATCAATAAATCAAGGAAACAAGCTCATGTGCTTTTTTGGTGCCAACTTTAAGAATTGATCACAATTGCAGACTTGCCAATATCACTTAAAGAACATCATTTAATTTAGTGTTCTTTTTGTTTTGGAGGGTTCCTGATTCTTCACAAAAGAACTGGCCTGGGCACAGTTTCTTTCCTAGCAAAGTTTTCTTATGTCTTAATCAGCAGGTGAAACACCTGTACATATGGTTAAGAAAGTTGCAATGTGACACTTCCTAGAGCAAAAACCTTTCTTCTTCTTCTTGGTTATCAATTCTGTTAGACCAGTTTTCCAGAAAGTTACTCTAAAGTTTGTGAACCTTGATACAATATTTCAGTTACTTATAAATCTAAAATATCTGAACCTTGGAAAGTGTGACATTACTTACTTTTGCAGTTGAAACTCACCCTACTGGAACGCAGTTGAACTCCCCTGCCCTGTTCTAAAATGGCTGATACTAAAACAGGCAGCCCAAGAATAATTCATTTGAGGGAATGAAGGGCTGGTAAAATCCATTAGCAGGGGAGCAAGGAATTTATTTTTGTTACACATTCCACATAATTTGTACAACTGGGATTTCATTTGGTAACACATTATTTAGCTTAGTGAAGTTGTTGTGAGCATACAGCAAATCTGTCAAACAATTCTCTTCAGATCCAGAGACTTTGACAACTCTTTTCCCCTCTCCAAATGCAAGGGAAGCTAAATCCTTTAACCAGGCACTTGTCATGCAATTCCTCACAGAATCTTTTACCCTCCTATAACCTGAAAATGCAATGGCAAACCTGACAGAATAACATTCACAATTACTATAGAAGTTATATAGATGGTATAGAAGGGAAATTTGTGTTTATATACTGGGAGGGGGGAAGAATTAACGGTGCAAGCCAATATATGCCTACTCAGAAGTAAGCCTCAATTTATTGAGGTTTATTCCCAGCTAAGTGGGAATTCAGCCTCTTAGACTGCAACCCCAAATTGCTACTGTGGCCAGGGCCATCTTTACCTGGGGGTGCAGGACACCCGGGCGCTGAAATCTGGGGGGCGGCAGGCACTAGCCACTGAAGCCGCCTAAGGCGAAGGGTGAGAGGACAGAGGAGCGAGCGAGCGGAGGACGAGGCGGCCTTTGCCGTGCCCGAGGTTGCAGCGCAAGGAAGTGCGCCGCTGCCAATCACCGCCTGGCTCCCCACCAAGCAGCCATCGCTGGGCGCATCACGTGACACCCGCTTGGTGCCAGAATGGTAGTCATAGTCAGTGGCGTAGCGTGGGTTGTCAGCACCCGGGGCAAGGGAAGTAATTTGCGCCCCCTAACCCGTGGATTTTAGCACTCAAGTGCGAGCGCCCCCCCAGATGTTGCGCCTGGTGTGGCCGGCCCCCCCTGCACCCCCCACGCTACGCTACTGGTCATAGTCATAGCAACAACTTGACGTGGCACAGAGAGAGAGCGAGGCCCGGCTACCTGGCTGGCTGCGGGCGCGGGAGATGGTGGGCGGCAGGAAGGAGAGGAGGGAAGCAGCAGCTTTGGGTTTCTCATGACATCCTCTTCTTAGCGGCCGCCACAGAGCACGCCATATGCTTGAGAATAAGTGTACTGTCAGTGAGAGCTGGACCATAAAGAAGGCTGATCGCCAAAGAATTGATGCTTTTGAATTATGGTGCTGGAGGAGACTCTTGAGAGTCCCATGGACTGCAAGAAGATCAAACGTATCCATTCTTAAGGAAATCAGCCCTGAGTGCTCACTGGAAGGACAGATCCTGAAGCTGAGACTCCAATACTTTGGCCACCTCATGAGAAGAGAAGACTCCCTGGAAAAGACCCTGATGTTGGGAAAGTTTGAAGGCAAAAGGAGAAGGGGAAGACAGAGGACGAGATGGTTGGACAGTGTTCTCAAAGCTACCAACATGAGTCTGACTAAACTGCGGGAGGCAGTGGAAGACAGGAGGGCCTGGCATGCTCTGGTCCAGGGGGTCACGAAGAGTCGGACACGACTAAACGACTAAACGACAACAACAACATTGTCAATAAATGAGCAAATCAAAAAGTTTCTTTTTCCTCCCTTCTTTCGTAAACAAGAGGTAAGCGTGGTGTCTGACATAAGCATAATAAAAGTTAATTTAGGGGCTGAACTCAATTTGGGGGCGCTGGGTGGATCTTTGCACCCCGGTGTCGCATATGCTAAAGAGAGCCCTGACTGCAGCCATCAAGGCTCTGCAGAACAGCCAAGCTATTGCCACACCTGCAGTCTGACCACTCGTGATGCTGGCAGAAGGTGGCAGGCAAAAGCATTGGGAGTGATCTCTGTGGCAGCTTCAGGCTTGCACAGAGATCAGGCCAGGATCAGACCCGGTGCCAGCCAGGGCCGGTTGTGGGGCAGCTCAGGATCCAATGAGTCCCAGGCCGGCACAGTCCTACCCCCCAGAGCACCCCATTTTGCAGCTGTCTGCTAGATTCTGCCCATGGTGCTACCTAACCTGTCTGTGTTCAAGAGCAGGTATGTTCTGATGGAGAGATACAATTTCTGAACGAGCATAAGCAAGCAGAGGCATGCCTTCACTCAGTCCAAACTCCCTGCAACCTGGCGTTGGGAGCTTGGATCGCAACCTTAATCTCAGAAATTGTCACTTTCTAAATTCTGTTCTTTACAGCAAAGACCGAAAACCTGCCTCGTTTTCTAAGTTTTTATTTCAATTTCTGATTAAGAGGTTCCAAATTTGCATTTTGAATGTGATACTTTACCAGGGGTCAGCAAACATTTTCAGCAGGGGGCCGGTCCACTGTCCCTCAGACCTTGTGGGGGGCCAGACTATATTTTGGGAGAAGAAAAAAAAAGAATGAATTCCTGTGCCCCACAAATAATCCAGAGATGCATTTTAAATAAAAGGACACAATCTACTCATGTAAAAACATGTGGATTCCTGGATCATCCGTGGGTCGGATTTAGAACGCGAATGGGCCGGATTTGGCCCCCGGGCCTTAGTTTGCCTACCCATGCTTTAAGCTGTAAATTCAAATGCTTTAGATGTGGCAGGGGTCTTGAGTATTTTGATTATGGTGGACTCCAAATATGAATTCTTATAAGCTATTATCTGTCATACAAAACAATTATAATTGCATGTTATCTATCAAAGGCTGTCAGAAATTAAATACCATTGCATGCTAACAATCAAACGCTGTAAGTTAAAAATATCATATAATGTATCTGCCATCAAATATTAACTATGGCCTTGTGTCAACCAACAAATACTGTGAAATATGATGCATTGCTCGTTTTCAAGCAGTCCTTCAGGGAACCGCAGTGAGGTCAGTAGTGATGGCCAAACACAACCTTTTGCTTGCCTTCTTTTGCAATTAGCAGCCACGGGGATATGTTGGACATATTCTAGGTCATCATACAAGAAGCAATGGTGGGACCCAAAATTTCCCCCTTGAATTGTGTATGAGCCCCAGAGCAACCCCAGAATGCTCTGCACCATCTAAAACATGCAGGAATTTGGATCACCTTGGGTCAGGTCCACTTTGAGCAGTATCACCGTTTAGCCCATAATCTAGCTGGGTTCGAAACATATTGGATTGTGGCTGATTTGAATCACTGAATTGGGCCCCGAATCAAATCTGGGATTGTGAAGAACCCTACTGAGAACCACCATTCCGGCATAAACTCCATTGTATAGAAAGTCACTTTCAGCTGATTTATTTCTAATTCCTGAATGCCAGTTCATATAGGAAGGTCTTCTAACCTTTTAAAAGTTGTTCACATTTTTACTAAACCTTCTTTGAAAATATCTAAGGGATTAGCCTTCAAAAATATGCCAGAGGTTGCCTTTACTGTCATATTTAACTGTATCTGCCTTCTTATAGTCTTGGCAGTGCATCCTGATCTGTCTTTTGTGTGTACTATGAACTAGTATACCAATAATCTCTCCTTACCAATAATCTGTTTATATATTGGGAAAACATCATTTCTTCTTTTAGCCTTTCCTTATATGATTTTCTTCAGTTCTGAATCCCTTCTAGTTAATCAATCTCCTTGTTCAAATGTGATAGCCAAACCTGTTACAGTGGTGCCTCGCAAGACGAAATTAATCCGTTCCGCGAGTCTCTTTGTCTTGCGGTTTTTTCGTCTTGCGAAGCACGGCTATTAGCGGCTTAGCGGCTATTAGCGGCTTAGCGGCTATTAGCGGCTTAGCGGCTATTAACGGCTTAGCGGCTTTAAGAAAAAGGAAACAAACTCGCAAGAACTCGCAAGACGTTTCGTCTTGCGAAGCAAGCCCATAGGGAAATTCGTCTTGCGGAATGACTCAAAAAACGCAAAACCCTTTCGTCTAGCGAGTTTTTCGTCTTGCGAGGCATTCGTCTTGCGGGGCACCACTGTACTGTTATTTATCATCTTTATACCAAATGCTCAAATTCATAACCAAACCGGTTCCCTGCTCTCATTTTTACAAAGAGACCTAAGGTTGACACAACGATCTGCCCAAGACTACACTGTGAATTTATGGGTGAATCCTGCATCTCCAGGTGAAAGTCAGCTTATTATCCGCTATGACTGCAGTCTGGCAATGCAGCTCCACAGGAATTTTTCAGAGGATTGTGGGCACTATTTCTTGGAGTTTTTGTACTGTCATATTAACTGGGAGATTCTCAAGAGTCACCAATTAATGATGACCGGATCATCACCCCTTTTATCTATGCTATATTGTGTGCCATCAATATGGCACTAAACAGTAGGGATAGTGGACAGCCTTGGTTGCTGTCTCATCCTATTTGGATCTTAGATAAATCAAATTTGTTCACTTAAACAGAGTCACACACACGTATTCCAGCACTTGTTTTTATACACTATTGTCTTTGTCCATTTTCCTCAATGCTAATAAAAAGGTCCATTCAATTAAATCAAAGGCCTTACAAGTACCTATACTTATTCATTTGTTTATTAGATTTATGACCTGCTCTTCACCACAAGGTCCCAGGGCAGATTACAACAATAAAATATACAATTCTTTTTTTAAAAGGGGCGGAACAGGGCATAATGGGTCTGGGAATGGAACACCTCCCCACACACCTCAAATGGTCATTGGCTGTGTTCTAATCCCAAATGTTATAGGGATTTGTATGCCCTTATCAATATGGGAAGTGGCTTCTTGGACTGTACAGTGGTACCTCGAGTTAGGAACTTAATTCGTTCAGGAGGTCCGTTCTTAACCTGAAACCGTTCTTAACCTGAGGTACCACTTCAGCTAATGGGGCCTCCCGCCGCCGCTTGAACATAAGTTCTCCAGAGCCAGCCCAATCCCCACACATTCTGGATAACCCTGAAGTCTCCCAGATCCCCGACTGGGGACTGGGAAGGATAAACACCTAATGCCTGAGCCAAGGTCTCCCTACATCTGAAACTTAATAAAGTTGTGGCCAATTTTAATCCCATTGTCTTGAGTCATTATTCCACTCGGGGGTTGCTTGGGGTTGGGGGGACTCCGCCTGTCCGCGCAAATAATGCCTGTGATTTTGAGGAGCCTGCAGCTCAATAATGGTCAGTGATTCAGTGATGTCACAGCAACTTCTCGCCCTTATTATTGGTTTCTTGAAGGAAAACAACACCTGGCAGCTCTGTTTTCTGTCATGCCTTTTTGCCCTATGTCTTTATCTGAAAAAAAAAATGGATTGGGTCAATTTACTATCTGATTCATCACTAGGAATTCTATAGGCAGCTTTAGAAAGTATGGAAGAGAATTTCATCAGCCAGGTGCAAAATGTACATATTTTATGGCATCACTACAGACTTTCTGAACCATAAAGAAGGCTGATCGCTGAAGAATTGATGCTTTTGAATTCTGGTGCTGGAGGAGACTCTTGAGAGTCCCATGGACTGCAAGAAGATCAAACCTATCCATTCTGAAGGAAATCAGCCTTGAGTGCTCACTGGAAGGACAGATCCTGAAGCTGAGGCTCCAATACTTTGGCCACCTCATGAAAAGACTCCCTGGAAAAGACCCTGACGTTGGGGAAGATGGAGGGCACAAGGAGAAGGGGATGACAGAGGACGAGATAGTTGGACAGTGTTCTTGAAGCTACAAACATGAGTTTGACCAAACTGCGGGAGGCAGTGGAAGACAGGAGGGCCTGGCGTGCTCTGGTCCACGGGGTCACGAAGAGTCGGACACGACTAAATGACTAAACAACAACAAAACAGACTTTCATTGTTAAATTAAATCTCGAGAAAATCTGAAGCATATTGGTCACTCAGTTGACCAGTCCGCCTTCCTGACTGACTCACTCATACAGACATCTGGTCAGCAGAAGCTCTGTAAGCTAGATGTTTGCTTCTAGTACTTGAATTTGTGCAGTTCCTTAGTCAGAACATATCTTAAAGGATTGTACTAAGAACCTTGTTTCATTATTATGCTTAATTTTCTGATTTGTGGCAGTAATGTGTTTACATGTCTGCTGCAAGACATATCAGAGTAAAACAATCACTGTGTTAAATATGGAGCCATGCTAATTAACAGCAGTTTTCAAAATAGACTTGCTCCACAATTGTAGCACTATCTATTAATTAGAAGTCTTATTCTGCCACTTTAAATACACCACTCAGAGAAAGCAATTAACTATCAATGGGTGGGGAAGCACCCTTATAAAAATTGAAAATGAAAGTCACCTCATAAAACAAAACAAAGCTTACTGGCTGCAGGTTATCTTTGATGGATGCAGAAGAATTGGACACTACTGAGCCACTGACAGTTTTTAAAGGTTTGTAAATGTCTTTTCTTCCAGTTATAAAGGTGGCGAATGAATCAGTCACTGCTTTCTGCGTTGGACCTCCCTTTACTTCAGCTCAGCAGCCTCCTCAGGTCTTTTAGATATATTCACTTATCTTCCTTCTCACAGGTTATGTCCTTAATTCAACTAAATGAACACAGCATCTTCATAAACAGTCGTCACAAACTCAGGAGTACAATGGATTCAAAACTTGTTAGTGTTCAAGTAACTCATTCGGGACGCGGGTGGCGCTGTGGGTTAAACCACTGAGCCTAGGACTTGCCGATCAGAAGGTTGGCGGTTCGAATCCCCGTGTCGGGGTGAGCTCCCAATGCTCAGTCCCTGCTCCTGCCCACCTAGCAGTTTGAAAGCACCTCAAAGTGCAAGTAGATAAATAGGTACCGCTCCGGCAGGAAGGTAAACGGCGTTTCCGTGCGCTGCTCTGGTTCGCCAGAAGCGGCTTAGTCATGCTGGCCGCATGACCCGGAAGCTGTACGCCGGCTCCCTCGGCCAATAAATCGAGATGATCGCTGCAACCCCAGAGTCGGTCACGACTGGACCTAATGGTCAGGGGTCCCTTTACCTTTACCTAACTCATTTTCAGTGTTGAGAATGATAATATACCTGGCTAGCATCCATCTGTCTCAGGAGACAATGGAGGAGGGCACCTTTGGGGGTGAGATCAAGGTGTTGGAAATCTGCAGCACCTGCTGTGGCTTGCAGAGACCAATGCGGGAGAGCATGTTTTGTTGCAGCTGGGGCAGATGAAGGCGTCCAGTTGTGCTGCTGCAGATGCACCATGGTGTTTCTTCTGTCTGCACTCGTCCCAGCAGTCATTTCTCCTCTGGTCACTGCTCTGAATATTCAACTGAACTGCCTGTCTCCACACACTGCGGTTGTCTGCAAGGGATTTCCACCAGGCAGTGTTGATGTTGCCAGCCTTCATGTTATGTTTGCAGACATCTTTGTTACACAGAGTTGGTCTGGCACAGTGGGAGTGTGACCCTGTTAAAGGTAAAGGGACCCCTGACCATTAGGTCCAGTCGTGACTGACTCTGGGGTTGCAGCGCTCATCTCGCTTTATTGGCCGAGGGAGCCGGAGTACAGCTTCCGGGTCATGTGGCCAGCAAGACTAAGCTGCTTCTGGTGAACCAGAGCAGCGCACGGAAACGCCGTTTACCTTCCCGCCGGAGTGGTACCTATTTATCTACTTGCACTTTGACGTACTTTCGAACTGCTAGGTTGGCAGGAGCAGGGACCGAGCAACGGGAGCTCACCCCGTCATGGGGATTCGAACTGCTGACCTTCTGATCAGCAAGCCCAAGGCTCTGTGGTTTAGACCACAGCGCCACCCGCGTCCCTATGTGACCCTGTTACTTCTCAAGAATTTAAGCCAACGCTTCTTCCCATCCATCAGCCCCACAAGAAATACTATGAAGCCAAAGGTCACCTATCATTTTGGTAACAGGCTCCAACACTATTCCAGTAATCTTTGCTTCAAGCTATCACACCTCTCTTTCAGTAGCCTGGAAACTAATTCTGATCTTACAGGTGCACAGTTAACATCTGCAATGATTTCATCCAAATAGGTTTAACTTCCATTTTTCATTCTGAGCAGTCTAGGGAGACAGGTGACATTTCTGCCTTTCCTTTTGTTTACCTCTGTCACAACCCTCTAAAACAATACTTTAGGAAATGACAGAAAAGCCACAGTTTTAAAATGTCATGATCACAAACAATCATAGAGATGGCATGCTACATTTATCGAACATCACATCAATGTTTTCTAGCAGTATTTGGAAACTTCAGAAAGTCCATGAAGTGGAAATGGGAGATCTTGCATGGTATATTAAACATACGTTGTCCTGCATGTCCAGGGATTCCTTGCCATCTTATTTGCGCGTTGAGGTCCCCCAGGCCACCCCAATAACTCACACTTCACACATCAATTTTTGTTGAAGGTTTTTGGCATGAATTTGGCCACAACTTTATTAAATACACAAACGTGAGTGGTTGCTTAGGCATTGGTTTTGTTTTCTTTTTAAATTATTTTTTTTCAATCTCCAATACAAGATTTAAACATACATTTTCAATATTATCACAGATACATAATTTTGACTTCCTTTAGCTCATCCACGAATCTTCCGTTTTCTAATCTTCTATCCGCAATTCTAAATTTAACATTGCCTTTTGTTTTAAATAAACCTATTCCCTTGTTCCCTTTTTTTACAGTGTTTCTAATATTATTTCTTCACAAAGCTTCCTGTAAACCCACAAACGTTATTTGTGTATCACATATGCTTTTCATATAGTCCACAAATTTACTCCAGTCCTTGGTAAACTTGTGATCTCGTCGGTTCCGGACCCTTCCTGTTAATTTATCTAATTCTGCATAGTCCATTAATTTCATTCTCCATTCTTCTATCGATGGGAGTTCTTCCTGCTTCCATTTTTGGGCCAGTAGTATTGGTTGCTTAGGCATTGGTTACGAATATCTGTCTTTGCCCCAGAGACAGAACTGACCTCCTGATTCTAGCGGAACCCCTTGCCCCAGGGACAGGACTGACTTCTGGATTCCAGCGGAAGCCAGTCAGGGAGAACCATATTGGGGAGAAATGAAGCTGGACATCAGTCCCTCATCCTTCACCCTCATGCGCCCTGGGGCTTGCATAGCCCAAGTCCGATGCCAGGGACTAGGATGAAAGGGATGGCAAGCCCCCTGGATTCCTTTAACGGAATTCCCTTTCAGCACCACCATTGGAGGGGTAGGCACTTACCCCTCCACCAACCAATTTTAACCAATGCCTAACCGCCAACCTTACAAGTTGTGACTATTTGCTACGCAGCAGGCAAAAACCAAATGGCAACAGCCAATCAGCCAAATGGACAAAATTCCTACCAGGCCCCTGCCCCAAGGCAGACGACCCCATGACAGGCATAGCGAGGTCATAGGACAACGAACCCCCCCCTTTTCAGGGAGGGTGGGCGGGTGATCCGGTGCACGCAACCCAAGAGAAGGCCCCAGGCTGCGAGCCCTGTATTTAAGACCTCTGACCCCTCCCACACTTTAGCAACATAACATTCTCCCCAGCAACACTCCTTGCCCAATCACAGCATGTGGCCAATACGCCCGACAACAGTGGGGTGGCCTTTTTGGCCCCCACTGCAACACGTGCTCTCTGGTATGGAGAACACGCTATGTAAAAACAACAACAAATAAATATATTTTGAGGAAGAACTAGGAGAGCATAGGAAACCTCTGGGCCACACCAGGCCTCTTGAGGAAGTCACACACACACTGTCCTACAACTGACGTGATACAAGATGTCAGGTTTGGGGTGGTAGAACAATCAGGAGTTTATGTGAGCTCCCAATAGTTCTTTTGTTGGTACAAAGGCACACTCCCATCCTTCCATCAGCTGTTGGAAGGTGGAGTGTTCCTTCTCAGGGCTGTTAGGAAAACTGCTTTCAAACAGCCTTGCGTGTCGAGGTCCCCAGGGCCACCCCAATAACTCACACATCACACAGAATTTTTTGTTTAAGATTTTTGGAATAATTTTGGCCACAACTTTATTAAAATACAAATTTGTGAGTGGTTGCTTAGGCATTGGTTGCAACTATCTGCCCCCACCATGGGGGACAGACTGACATTCCGCACGATGCGAAAGTCAGAATGGGGGAATACACTTGGGGGTTACGCGGGGCAGGGAACCTGCCCTCACCCCAAATGCAACCAGGAGCTCATTGCTATGGCCCGAGCCCCCTTGACAGAGTGGACAAGCAATAGTTAGCTCCCAATTCCTTTAACGGAATCCCTTGCAGCAGCAGCATTAGAGGGGCAGGCACTCAACCTACCAAGGGCAGGCACTCAACCACTGTCCCTCAACCAACCAAACCATAAACCAATGCCTAATCGCAACCTTACAAGTTGTGACGATTTGCTACGCAGTAGGCAAAAACCAAATGGCCCCAGCCAATTAGCCAGATGGACAAAATTCCTACCGGGCCCCTGCCCCAAGAGCAGATGACCCCATGACAGGCATAGCATGGTCAAAGCGAACAACCCTAATTCTCGGGTGGGGGGGCCGGGCAATCCGATGCAAGGTCGATAAGAGGAAGCCCTAGCCTCGTGCAAGGAGTTTTAGCATTTCTGGCTGTCAATCAACAAATGGCAACATTAACTTCTTCCCAACAACAAGGGAAGCCCCAATCGCATCAGTGGCCAATGGTCAATTAGCCCGCCCCCAACTCTGGAGTGTCCTGGCGGCCCCCACAGCAACACGTGCTCTCCATGAAGGAGAACACGCTTTGTGCTACTCCTTAAACTTCCAAAGCAGCCCAATGCTGCACTTTGAACTTCTGGAAACTGGAGGTTCACAGAACTGCAAAGGGATGTTTGAAAGTCTTTTGTGAACAGCCCAGTGCTCAAGAGTTTTGCCACTTGAGGCAAAAAGGAAAGTGCTACTTTTCCTTGCTGCTGCCACCGGTCCTGCCACCACCTAGTGCAGGGGTCAGCAAACTTTTTCAGCAGGGAGCCAGACCACTGTCCCTCAGACCTTGTGGTGGGGCGGACTATATTTTGAAAAAAAAATAATGAACAAATTCCTATGCCCCACAAATAACCCAGAGATGTATTTTAAATAAAAGGACACATTCTACTCATGTAAAAACATGCTGTTTCCCGGACCACCGCGGGCTGCATTTAGAAGGCGAGTGGGTCAGATCCAGATCCGGCCTCGGGTCTTAATTTGCCTACCCATGACCTAGCTGCTGCTGTTGCCACTGCCTGTTCTGCCACTGCTGCAGACCAGTACTGGCACCATTGATGCTAATCAAGATCACATTCATCTTGGACGATGGAAGAGGCGGATTGGTTTGACCTGATGTCACTACAGTGTTAGTTGACTGACAGGTGGCAGCCCTGCCCACGTGCCAAGCAGGGATTTTCTACAGACCTCCTAACCTTGCAACTTTATAATATTCAATTTATTTTCCAAACACACACACACACACACACACAAAACAATTGGGAGTACTTTGGTGCCACCATTACAAGTCTCTACAACTTTTCTTTCTGCCTCAGTTTCTTCAAACTAAAGAGTATGAAGAACATGTAAGCATAGACGTACCCAGAGGGTTCAGATACAAATGGAAAATAATGCAATATATAAAACTAGATGAATTATAAAGAAATCAGATTATCTGGGAAGCCAAAGCATAGAAGTATATGTATTGTTTCAAGCAGAAGTAGGGTACAGACATGCTTTAGTTACATAGTTCTGAAAAACCTTTCTTCTGACCATTTCATAAAGTCCAAGGTAGCACATCTGATGAAAAATATTCTGGACTAATTAGAGCTGTGCAAGTCATGAGCAACATCATGCACTTGAGTTGACTATCCCACTTCTGTCTGGTAACAAACCTTAGCATTTAAATCAGAAATTTCTAGTGGGTAGGAAGACTGAATACACATACCTGCATACCTTGTCTGGAATACAGTGGTACTTCGGGTTACAGACGCTTCAGGTTACAGACTCCGCTAACCCAGAAATAGTACCTCGGATTAAGAACTTTGCTTCAGGATGAGAACAGAAATCGTGCTCCGGCAGCAGTGGCAGTGGGAGGCCCCATTAGCTAAAGTGGTACCTCAGGTTAAGAACAGTTTCAGGTTAAGAACGGACCTCCAGAACAAATTAAGTTCTTAAACCGAGGTACCACTGTACTCCGTCTACAATATACAGGCTTAAACAAAGGAAATGCCATATACAGGCATATCTGATAAGATTGACTACTTTGCAAGTATTTGTTGTTGTTGTTTAGTCGTTTAGTCGTGTCTGACTCTTTGTGACCCCCTGGACCAGAGCACGCCAGGCACTCCTGTCTTCCACTGCCTCCCGCAGTTTGGTCAAACTCATGTTTGTAGATTTGAGAACACTGTCCAACCATCTCGTCGTCTGTCGTCCCCTTCTCCTTGTGCCCTCCATCTTTCCCAACATCAGGGTCTTTTCCAGGGAGTCGTCTCTACTCATTAGGTGGTCAGAGTATTGGAGCCTCAGCTTCAGGATCTGTCCTTCCAGTGAGCACTCAGGGCTGATTTCCTTCAGAATGGATAGGTTTGATCTTCTTGCAGTCCATGGGACTCTCAAGAGTCTCCTCCAGCACCATAATTCAAAAGCATCAATTCTTCAGCGATCAGCCTTCTTCATGCTGGCTCCCAAAACAGAGTTTTACCTTTTAAAAGTCAGTAAAGTCAAGCCGACCAATCTTTAACAATATTGGCCAACTTAAGTCTGGTTCTTCACAAATCTTTAATGGATCCCTGCAGTGGTGGACCTACATTTTGGGGGCCCTCACCCTTGAACTGTTATTGAGGGGGCGGCCTTCGCAACCAGCAGTGAGGTCTGGGTAACCACTGTTATCTTCTTTGATGGAGTTCTTTACAACAACCTTTACAACACCTATGCTACTGACTCTCAAACTTTGGAATTGTAGAAATATAGGCAACAAAAAATCAGCAGACCATATTTTTTAAAAGCGTTGTGAACTAAAGTTGCTTCTGGGGCCCCTCTGAGATCACGGGCCTTGAAACTTAAACTTCATTAGTTTCATAGTAGATCTGTCCCTGGATCCCTGTGAATGTGGATAAGGATTTCTGTAGCAGAAAACACACAGTAGCTTCAGGTGAGCTCCAGAAACCTTGAGACCTCATAATCCCGCATGGAGAATACTAAAATAATGAGGTGGTCCTTTTTCTGCACACACACACCCCGCTGCTTGCTCCTGGGAGACAATTATGTTTCATACACCTGCCAACCTCACTTCTGAGTGCTAGCTTCATGAGAGGAAAGGCCTTTGAATTCTCTCTCATATACCTGAAGAAGTGATTGCCTTGTGGAATCTACCAGACGTCGCTGCCAAACAAAACGCCTACATTGCCTTGAGGAAAGAAGAAACTTGCAGTACCACCAACATTTATTTTCCCCTTGGTATGAAAACCTACAGTGTGGGCCCCCAGTTCTCCTCCTCCAGCAATGTCTCTGAAGTGACAAGGCACAAGAGATTACTCGGCAGGCATTTGCCTGAACAGAGGAGGGTAAAGAATTTGCAGATGGGCATGCACAGAATGTTTGGGCTTCAGCCAGATTTTTGCACATTGATAAGGCAGGGTTCCTGATCATGCAAGGGTGACACAGAATGTGCTTAGAAACATCACCCCACCTCTTTACACATTTCCCAGTCTTATTTGTTCAGGGGACGCGGGTGGCACTGTGGGTTAAACCACAGAGCCTAGGACTTGTTGATCAGAAGGTCGGCGGTTCGAATCCCCACGACGGGGTGAGCTCCCGTTGCTCGGTCCCTGCTTCCGCCAACCTAGCAGTTCGAAAGCACGTCAAAGTGCAAGTAGATAAATAGGTACCGCTCCGGCGGGAAGGTAAACGGCGTTTCCGTGTGCTGCTCTGGTTTCGCCAGAAGCAGCTTAGTCATTCTGGCCACATGACCCGGAAGCTGTACGCCGGCTCCCTCAGTCAATAAAGCGAGATGAGCGCCGCGACCCCAGAGTCAGTCACGACTGGACCTAATGGTCAGGGGTCCCTTTACCCTTTACCTTTAAGGCAGGGTTCCTGATCATAAAGGGGTGACACAGAATGTGCTTAGAAACATCACCCCCACCTCTTTACACATTTCCCAGTCTTATTTTTTTAGGCAAGCACCTAAAAATAGCTAGGATGGGGCATCATTCCAACTGAAGCATCATGGAGGGAAATGGTCTCCATCGTGCCACCAACTGTAGCTCCATCGTTGGTTGCAGAGGCAAGCTATTATGTTGAAAAAGCAAAGGAGGAAAGGGGTGTATAAAATTATGACTCTGCCATCCTGATTTTGTATTAGCTGCTGCCAGATTCTTCAGCTTGGGTGGGAGGCTTGTCATTGCTGAAGGTGGGCCATAACGTGATCCCTTGTCTGGGGTTGGGTGTCTGCCCTCAAACAATTTCCAGGGGGAGAGGAAATCTATGTGCTCAGTCTGAAAAATTTGGTTATTCCTCAGGTAATAGGCAGAAACGAGCAAGGTTTCATTAACACTATTGCAGCTGTGGTGTTCAACTTGGATTTTAAGTTCAGAAACAGATTTTCAGATGTCAAAATCTTGGTTTCACTGGCAAGAATTTTGCTGTTTTTATAGTTCAGTTAAGCAACTCTGTTCCCATAATTACTTTCTAGGAACACCAGCCTCAAATGACTGAAAGTTTAATTTTGTGACTGTACTTTGGTAGCATCTTTGGAAAAGCCTTATCTTGGTTTTCATATTTATGCAGTTAATTGCAATCAATACACTAAGAAACTATTTGGGTCTAGTGAGCATCACACATTATCTGTTGTAACAACAGCAAAAACCCCTACAGTACTGATTATGCATACATTGTACACCAAGATAAGTTATTGCAACTTCTGTAGTGCACATCAGCACACTGTAGTGAATAAAAAGTATAAGGGAGTCCTAGTAATTACCATTTTAAAGTATAATAAACACGTCACAATGCACTGTAATGTAAATCATATTTTTATAGCCAGCAGCATATTAGGACTGGGTTTAATTCTAAAGCCTATATTACTTTTCATCTCAGCACTGTAGGAAATTACATATGCCAGGTACTTGCAGGTATATATTGTAACTATATACATTTTTGCAAAAACACAGTAGAATAATTATCACCGGAATAATGTAGCCTCTGGTTGCAATCTTATTTTTTAGAAACAATCAATATAGACTTAAAAAAACTATCTTGAACCCAAGCTCGATGACATTTATATGGTCAGATGCTTGTTTAACATCAAATGCTATAATTTTAGAGGATTTAACTCAGAATGAAACATATCCCCTGCTCTGTGGAAATCTATTCATTTTTTAAATCAGCTTTCTTTGTGGGCAGTAAACAGGCTCCCACTAAAACTTGTGCATGATTTTAATTACAGATAAGTTTCTCTTTTAAAGGCCAAAGCGTTCATGCTCAGGTTGCTAAGCTGAATTCAATACATCTATATGTTAAAGGTAGAAAACTAATGTGTAAACAGGAAAAGTATTGGAACCAATTGCTGTTAATTTGGTTTTGATCAATTCACATTGACTGCACTTTACATGCAAATGAGAAGTGTTCTAGGCTAGCCAGATGAAAATAGCTGAGATCTGAAGTGGGGTTTCATTCTGCAAATTATTTAAACGAGTAGGTAGAGAAGGAGGCATAGCAACAGGCAGTTATGAGTAAAGTTTGCAGCTGTGGACCCAGCCCAAATAGATATTCATATAGAAACAGCAACCCACAAATTAATGCAAAACTCTAACCGCATGGATTAATGATAGTGGACATATATTCTGCAGAAACTGCCCGCCCAATAGTTCCATCCCTACCACACTGACTAGGATAGAATTATCATAGCAGTCAAGTTCTCATTTGATTTACTATGTTCTTTTGATCCACTGAGAGATTTTGGGTGCTCTACAGTTCTATGAAATTACAAGGGAAGTATTAGTACCACTCTATTCTGCCCTGGTCAGACCACACCTGGAATGCTGTGTCTAATTCTGGGTACCACAATTTAAGGATATTGACAAGCTGGAATGTGTGCAGAGAACGGTGACCAAGATGACCAAGGGTCTGGAACCAAGCCTTATGAAGAAAGGTTGAAAGAGGTGGGTATGTTCAGCTTAGAAAAGAGGAGATGGAGTGATTAGATAGCCATCTTCAAATATCACAGTGAAACGGTCTCCCCCGGGAGGTTGTAGAAACAGTTGTAAACCTCCTTCCTTGGAGGTTTTTAAGCAAAGATGGATGCTTTAGCTGAGATTACCGCACTGAGGGTGTTGGACTAGATGACTCTCAGGGCCCCTCCCAATCCTACAATTCTTTTTTTTTAAAATTAAATTTTATTTAACATAATTATTACAAAATACAAATACCTACATACATATATATTTCAGATAAGCACACACATAGAAAAAAAGAAAAAAGGAAGAAAAGAAAAAAGAAAAAGAAAAAGAAAAAATAAGGAGAAAAAGAAGAAGAGGAAAAATTGGAATTTCTTCCAAATTTATTCTACAAATATCTCAATAATAAAATTTCATTGATTGACTTCCATCGCTTACACTGCACTTCCTATATACATTTTAAGCAAAATTGTATCTGTTATTCCGTGTTTTCCCCATAAAATCTCATACAAATATTCTAATCAATATGTTTTCAAAATCTTTCATAAATCTATTCTAAACAATTCTATGATTCTATGATTCTAAGGGGGCTGGCCCCTTCCAACCTCCTTTCTCATCACCTGATCAAACTTCTCTCTTTAACATCTCACCTACCCCTTCGCCTATCTCCTAAGTGCTCACCCAAATCCTCCCTCCCAGCTTGCCCCAACGTCTTTTAAAGGAGGGTGGGAGCTGCTTCAGTGAGAGATTTGCCAAGCTGCTCTCTGATGTGCCTCCCAGCCTCTTTTAAACGGTTCACCTTGGCCTCCTGCCCCACAATGCTGCTTACTTGCTCGCTTGCCTGCTGTGTTGTCATCATGCTGGTGTTGCCGTGGCTACCTAGTATATCTGAAGGAGCGTCTCCACCCCCATCATTCTGCCCGGACACTGAGGTCCAGTGCCAAGGGCCTTCTGGGGGTTCCCTCGCTGCGAGAAGCCAAGTTACAGGGAACCAGGCAGAGGGCCTTCTCGGTAGTGGCGCCCTCCCTGTGGAACACCCTCCCACCAGATGTCAAAGAGAACAACAACTACCAGGCTTTTAGAAGACATCTGAAGGCAGCCCTGTTTAGGGAAGCTTTTAATGTTTGATGTATTACAGTATTTTAATATTTTTTTGGAAGCCGCCCAGAGTGGCTGGGGAAGCGCAGTCAGGTGGGCGGGGTATAAATAATAAATTATTATTATAATTATTATACCTACTGGTGGCCACACAAACTGCAGATTGACAACAGTTTTAGGAATGTCATTATATAGTAGGGAATCCGCTTGAACTGGCAAGACATATGATAAAGTTTGGGGAAACAGTCTCTGCCGTGTTCTGTTAACTAGGCATTATTGATGCAGAGTCATGACTTTAATAAAGTGATTCAGTTGTATATTGGATATTGAAACTTGCTAGGAAAACAAACTTGACATTCAAATGAGTAAAGATCTGAAATGAGAAGGAAAGTGGTACCATACTTTGTGGGTTGTGAAACACAGAGCAGTCAAATACAACATCCCTAGAGTGAACATAAAAAGGGGGTGTCTGGTCCAGCCAGTCAGAATTTCCTGTTTCCTCCTTGGCTGGGACACACTTCCTCTACATGTGACCAGAGGTGGGCGTGGCCTCACCTGTGCAGGTAACAAAAGCATAGGACTGGCCGCCATCTCTCTCTCTCTGACTATATTCATCGAAGAAGCAACATCTGCTTAGCCTAAGATGCTCTCTTGGCAGAGAGGACAAAGGGACCATTTCTTTATGGGCATAGATTCCAGGTATATTACTTTTGTAACTTAAGTCTGCCTTCTGGGATCCATCTGTGAACAGAATGTGAGTAAACTCTTTTTATACTTTTATAGAAAACTGTGTTGTGTCTATTTCTGTTATGAGGGACTAAAGGGGAAATTACTAGGTAACTTATTTTAGAGGCTTTAGTAAGCCTGAGCAAACACATCCGCTGTGCAAGTTTAGAAAGGGGAATGTTACTCTGCTAAACTGTAGAACTTGTTAACACAAGTTGGAAAGGATATAATCAAACAATATATATCCTCTCCTGCATCCCTGAACATTCCCACATACTTTACATTCCAATGTGAGAATGCTCAACTGTATAACCTCAAAATTAGGATAGGCTGTACAATCTGTGCTAGTCACTTCACATCCAGTTTAGTGACTAAAATAAAACAAAGAAATATGAATATGATAGCCATCTTCAAATATCTAAAGGGCTGATACATCGAAGGTGGAGCAAGCTTGTTTTCTCCTGTTCTGGAGTGTAGGACCGCAACCAATGGCTTCAATACAAGAAAGGAGATTCCAACTTTCAGGAAGAACTTTCTGACAGTCAGAGATGTTCAACAGTGGAACAGACCATCCTTGGGAGGTGGTGGACTCTCCTTCCTTGGAGATATTTAAGCAGAGGTTGGGTGGCCACCTGTCATTGATGCTTTAGCTGAGATTCCTGCATTGCAAGGGGTTGGATTAGATGACCCTCGTGGTCCCTCCCAACTCTACATCACTATAATTCTATGAAATGTAAATGTCACAGGTGTACCAACAGAGGACTCCTATCTTCACTCCATCAGTCTGTGGGCTTATCCACACTGACCTTTCCTCCATTCTTTCAGGCAAGGCCTGTACTTGACTGGTGCCACACGTATTGCTGTGCTTTCCTTAGGACCACAATGAAGTGAAGCCGAGAGGGTGGACTTTGGAAGAAGAAAAGGATATCTTTGGGAGAAGAAGAGACTCCACAAATCCAGAGTAGGGTCCCTAAAGTGGTTGGGTGGTGCCTTGTACGCCTCCTTCCGGCAACCCCTGCAGCCATGCTGATGCCAAACGTTCCGCTTTGCTTCCCTTTGGACCATATCAGTGAAGCCAAGATGGGGGTCTTGCCATCTCAGCAGCCCAGGACCTCCACAAACACTGCCCAGGCTTGTGCCCCAGAGTCACACTCCGTTGTCTCTTGAGACAGGTGCCAATATGAGTTCTAGTTCATGTTCATCCTGGCAAGAGATTCCTGTCGGTTTTACAAAGCAAACTAGTTCAGTTCAAGTTAATCCAATTGGGTAGCCCAGGACCTCTATACCTACACTGCCTGGGCTTGCACCCCAGAGAGGTCACAAGTTATGGTCTCTGCAGCCACATTAGGCTCTGTGACAGTTCAGTGGTTTATCTTCACTCTCGGAGGCGCACTCAATTGTCTCTCGAGACAGAAGGATGCCAACCACAACCCTGAGCTGTATTTACATGGTAAAATTGCTAAACTAATCCATTTAGGGTGTATATGCCTGTGATAAATCACCTTGTATGGCGTCTTTTACTTTCTTTTTCAATTAGACCTTTTCAGCTCCCTAATGTAAGAAAGAAAAGCTAGTATTACTTAACAGGTTGCCCTCTCAGTATGTTGTCACCAGAGAGCTAACTCAAACAACCAAAATGTTTTAAAATGGTACACTTTCTAAATGGTTAAATTAACCATAGTTTTAATATGATTTTGCTCACAAAGTATTGGACTGATGACTCGCAATAAGCAGTGAATGTTGCATTATGTTGACTTATTTGGTTTTTGTCTGAGCATAATTTCACAAAGCATCAAACCATTTTTTACAACAGCATGAGGTTAATATACTGTATATTGTTTCATGTAATGCCAGGCTAGGCTGTTTGGGATTGCACTCAGTGGTTCTTTTATAATGGAATGAGGTCAACAGCAAGATTTCATGCTATGCAATTTGTGCCATAATTTTCCACTACTGTTGGCTATGAATAAAATTTGTTTCCAGCCATTTTGAGTAATTTATTACACTGGCACCACAAATCCAAAACATTTACACAGAATCACGATCCACTGACTAGAGCAAAATGCACTTCTATGTAAGTGTGTTTAATACCAAAGCAATACAAAGTGTTTACCACTCCACAAAACAGAATAGAGTTCTTCCAGTGATTATACCCTCATTTTAGAATTCCCTCCCACAGGAGGCCCATCAGGCTGACTCCCTTATTGTTTTTAGAAGGCTAGTTATGACAGTATCATTTTAGAGATCATTTTAGGATGCTGAAGCTACTGGAAAGGATAAATATCTTGGCTCTGTACTTCAATTGGCCCTGTTGTTTATATTTTTATTTTATTTTTGTTTTAGAAATTGTATTATATTTTTGTAACAGTTTGTAAATGTTCCCTACATTCCAGTGATGTGATCCCACCAGGTTTCAATAATGCCAGTTACATCATATTTACCTTCCTTTGTTTATATTTTGAATGTATTGTTTATTTCCCATCCTCTGTGCCTTGGAAACCCTAGACTGAACACCCCAACCAGACCTTACTGTTTTTCTTGCATATCAGTGGGTACTCACATGGTTGGCTTGGCTTCACACATTCTTCAATATATAGTGCCAGGCTTGTATCATATTATTCTGCAGGAGTTAAGTTTATAGTCCTCCTGATCAGGTTTGTGAGACCCCCTGCCAAACACTTTCTTCCCAAGCGCATCTCTTACCAGAAGTCCATCATGGAAGTACAGGCCATAATTCAATAATCGCCTATATAAAACCTCTTGCTGCAAACGGCCACAGCCCAATTTCACCTGAGATACAAGGTGTCAGGGAACTGCCATCGGCTCAGGGGCGAGAGGGGAAAAGCCGGATGGATTACAGAGAGCCCCCAAAGATCATGGGAAGCAGCACCTCCTCAGCGGAGGAGGGTAGCCACGCCTTTAGTGGAGAAGAGATGCAGGGCTTGGGGGAGGCGAGGCGGTGCCAGGACACCTTGCCTGAGCAAAGCGGGGAGGAGAGAGGTCCTCCGTTACCCATGCCTTCTGTGTGCAGTAGGCTTCCGCGCAGAGAGAGGAGGCGCAGACTGGGCACCAAGTAACTACTCTGCTGGGGAAGGTTTAAGGACCGCCCACTCTCAGATTCTGCCAGTGAATGAGCAAGACACGGAACAGAGGTGCTCTGCGTTCCAAAGGTTTTTTATCACCAATAAGAAAGCTGTAAAACAGACTATTGAAGCATATTGCCTGATTGCTCTCGAGCAACCAACCTATACCTCTAACACAAGGTGAGGAAGGTTTTAAAAAGAAAACAAAAAGAAAGGCTTTCTCGGACAATCCGAAATTCCTCAGTTCCCAGATAAGCAACCTCCACTTTTTTGGTTAAAGATGGGCTGCTTCAGCTAAAATGCAAGGAAAGCGAGAAACGAAGAAGGGAAATTACGTGGTCCTTGCTCATTTGATAGTTGCTGATTTATGAAGGTACGAAGCTACACCATCACTTGAAAGTAGCAAAACCGCCATTCCTTCCCATAGCATAGGATATTATGGCATGTTCCTCATGTTCCAGAGTAGACCCTCTTCTTTCAAGCTCCAGGCTGTAGGCAAGGTCATACTTCTCACACCTTTTTCCACCCAGAAAGTCAGAAATGTATTTTCCCTGGAATTCCTGCAGCAACAGCATTTTTCAAAAAGATAATGACAACTGACAGTCCTGCAGCAAAATACCAATCAAGTGTGCCTCAGACCCCAAGATTGGGTCTCTACCCTGAAGGACACTGACCATGATGGATTTCTCCCCTTGCCCCTCACCCTTTTATTTACATTAGTAACCCTTTTCTCCCTTTTCCCGCAAGCGCTGCACTAGTTTGATTTCCCCTGTTGCTGCTCACCTGCCTCCCCATTTACTCAGCTGCCTTGCCTGAAACAGGTTAGAAAGGGCCTTCCAGATGATTTTGCCGTATTTCATGTTTGTGTACTTCGGGTGACATGATTTGCACAACCACATACTCCGCATGTTTATCTACTAATTAATCTACCAAAACGAAGCTGGAAATACGTTCTCTGTTTGCAGGTATAAAAAACCGTGCTCAGTGCCTCTGTAAATGGGGATAATTCTCTTTGCTAGTTCGATTTAACCACCTTCGCTGAATTAGTGCAGACAGTCTCTAAGCTATACCTGAATGTAGCTCTCATAATTGTCAGGTGAGCTGAAATTCTGCAGGAGAACTTTGAACAATTTCTAGTTCAATTCCAAGTTTGCTGTCTTGCAATTGTTTTTTTTACTCCTTAAACTCTTTGAGGCTTTAAGCTTCGATATCCTAATTGTTGGGAGGAAATAAATTAAACAATATATTTGTGTGTTATGAATTCTCTTAATCTGTTTATGCATATTTTATAGTTCAGCACAGCAGCTTATAACTTTCTGAATGCTGATTCTTTTTTTTGTGTTTTCTTATTTTTTTGTAGATCATTTGAACGAACTTGAACGGAACAGCTGCACATGAGCCAAACTGAATTTTGTAAAGGGACAAACCTTAACTGGACTTGGTTCTGTTTTGGACATGTTGAACTTGAACAAGGTCTTTTTAAAATCAATTTTCTGAGCTCCGATGATTTTCTGCAGGTAGCTTGCTATGTCTGAGTCTAATGGCAATTAATATTTCTCTCATGGGGTTGAGCAGGATCTGTTCGGATGAAGGAGCTCAGTTTCTCACAGGATTGAACCTGAAGTCAGCATAGCTTATGATTCTTCAAGTTGCTGTATTCAGTAAAAGTGAGCAAAAAGTGGAAATTGTCTTCTTTTAAGATGGCAATGGAAGAATCTAGTCTGGTGAACAAATACTGTGGATTAGAAAATTAGTAGGATGGTCATGCCAGGCTGCCCCCTAGTTTATTAATCAACAAATTGATTTTTAAAATAGAAAAGGTGTAGAAATATTCCATTTTACAGAGCTGTCTAAGTTACAGGATACCCTCTCCTCCACAGTCAAACCATCCCTATTCCAGAATACAGTGCCATCATCAATGCTTTGAAAGTGTAGAAAAATAGTATTATAAGGGAACAGATGCGAACAAAAGGGGTGAAATTGAATGTATTAGTATTCAGCAGTCTGCTTTTGATTACCTCAGACTGGAAAATATTTGGAAGCCACCAGGGTCCCCTCAAGGATTATGATTTGGTAAATTCAACACTCGTGTGTTGAGATTCAGCCTCCCTTTATTGAAATTGAATTGATATTTTGTAAACTTCATTTGTGAATAATGTGACCTGACAGGGACAAATGCGAGGGAGAATTGTTTTCAAACCTCCTTCAAATGAAACTTATTATTGGGTAAGTACAGATTTCTTTGTCTCTCCCCCCTCCACTTTCACCCTGAGCATCTTCATGGCCTGAATATGTATTTTCCGAGGTAATTGAATTGATTCAATCATGTGTGGGCAACAGAAATGGGCAATGGAATATATTCCTGACGTGGAGAGGAGAGAGAAAGAAAGAGAGAGATTGAAAGAATTTCACCTCTGCTTCAAAGGTGGTGGGCGAGTATACCATAAAAAAAAACGCCGGAGAGACGCGCTGGAGCTTCTTTCTGATTATCTGGTCCTCGGCCATTCTTCCCCCTCAATAATCGCCCTCTGATATAATGCAGCCTTTCCAATTTTACAGGCCGGCGCCAGGCCTCAGATGTGTTACATATTAATTTCCCTTTGCAGAAAATTTACCAAGCTTTAGCTCAAATTCAGTTAGTCGGATTGATGAAAGTGGCAAAAGGATACGACACTTACTGATTCTGCCTTTTCACCTTTGATTAGCTCAGCCTGGGGATTATTCCCTGGCTTTTGTCAGAGGCGCCATTAGAGGAGCCGCGGCCGGGACTTCAGGCTTTCCGATGTAACGGGAGGGATTTAGGGTTGAGCCATGATTTGTCTGACAGGGGACCTGGGATCGCTTCCACGACGGCATGGCATTATTTTAGCAGGTCAAGTCCCTGCAAGGTTTCTCTTAATACAAACACACAAACGAATGAAGCAAAAGGACCTCCACCTCATAATATCAGCCACGTCCAGGGGCTTCTCCTGAGACACCAATGTGATCGAGCAGAGACAGCCTTATACGTAAAACCGATGCAATTCATCTCTGCCACTAATTATATTTAAATTAAGTAGCGGGTTAATAAATGAAGCTTATTTTTAGGGATCAAGAATATGGTCTGATGTGTATGCATCCTCTTAATGATATTGGTTACAGGTGGGTAATATAAGTTCTTGTTTAAAACAACTGGAATTTTACCAGTGGACTTGCATTATGGGATGGGCTGCTTCCACTTTAGGTCCTGGTGGCGCTGTGGTCTAAACCACAGAGCCTAGAGCTTGCCGATCAAAAGGTCAGCAGTTCGAATCCCTGCGACGGGGTGAGCTCCTGTTGCTCGGACCCTGCTCCTGCCAACCTAGCAGTTCAAAAGCATGCCAGTGCAAGTAGATAAATAGGTACCACTCCGGCGGGAAGGTCAACGGCGTTTCCGTGCGCTGCTCTGGTTTGCCAGAAGCGGCTTAGTCCTGCTGGCCACATGACCCGGAAGCTGTATGCCGGCTCCCTCGGTCAGTAAAGCGAGATGAGCGCCGCAACCCCAGAGTCATCCGCTACTGGACCTAACGGTCAGGGGTACCTTTACCTTTACCTAATTGCTACTGAAAACGTTCCTGTTCCACTGGCAGGAGGAAGTGGGATTAAAGCAAGGATTCCATGTGGCAGCAGATCTATTTATTCAAAAGTACCGTATTTTTCACTCTATAAGATGCACTTTTCCCCCTCCAAAAATTAAGGGGAAATGTTTGTGCATCTTATGGAGCAAATGCAGGCTTCAGTGAAAGCAGCGCAAAGCCTGGAGAGCGAGACTCTCCAGGCTTCAGGGATTGCCTCCGGAGCGCAGCGGGAGGCTTTGTGTTGCTTTCGCTGAAGCCTGAAGAGCGAGACTGGACCTAATGGCTTCTCCTGGCTTCAGGGATCGCTGCCCGGTGCACACCGATCCCTCTTGCTCTCCTGGCTTCGCTTCCCTTGAGAGGCGCTGCACAGCTTTCCCTCTGTGTGCAGCGCCCCTTCAGCGAAGCTGGAGGAAAAATGGAAGGGGCTTCGTTTCTCCTGCTGCTTCACTGAAGGGCGCTGCGCAGAGAGGGAGAGATTTTTTTTTCTTGTTCTCCCCCTCTAAAACAAGGTGCTTCCTATGGTAGGGTGTGTCCTATAGAGTGAAAAATACGGTATTTCTAAACCACTTGATAGTTAAAAGCCTGGAGCTTATGGCTTGCAGACCAGATTTGGACCACTGCTTCATTCCATCCAGCGCTTGGCTGTAGGTTCCCCACTCCTAACCTAGAGAAACTCCTAGGTATTCTCCCAATCTGGCCCTGCCTTATTTTAGGATGGTGATATCATGGAGCTCGCCTTCCTGCTTTGGGGGTGTGGTGCCCACTGCTATCCAGCTCTTTGCAAAGCTGCTGAAATGGGAGTTGAGAGCAGCAGCTTGAGTTGACACCACTGGATGTGGCAGAAGCTTCCCTCCTTAGGCCTGTAAGGTAAAGGTAAAGGGACCCCTGACCATTAGGTCCAGTCGTGGCCGACTCTGGGGTTGCGGCGCTCATCTCGCTTTATTGGCCGAGGGAGCCGGCGTACAGCTTCCGGGTCATGTGGCCAGCATGACTAAGCCGCTTCTGGCGAACCAGAGCAGCGCACGGAAACGCTGTTTACCTTCCCGCCGGAGCGGTACCTATTTATCTACTTGCACTGGCATGCTTTTGAACTGCTAGATTGGCAGGAGCAGGGACCGAGCAACAGGAGCTCACCCCGTCGCAGGGAACCTTCTGATCGGCAAGTTGGGGCAGGGAACCCCAACCTTCTGATCGGCAAGTCCTAGGCTCTGTGGTTTAACCCACAGCGCCACCCGCGTCCCTCTTTAGGCCTGTAGCAAACAGCAAAGGGAAGGGTGTGAAAATGGCTATCATATATCCTCTCAGTTTCCTCTTTCCCATGCTAAATACCCAACTCCCTCAGCCATTCCTCATAAAACTTAGTTTCCGGAGCCTTGATCATCTTGGTTGCCCTCCTCTGCACATGTTCCAGCTTGTCAACATCCTTCTTAAACGGTGCTGCTCAGAAGTGGACACAGGACTCCAGGTGTGGTCCAACCAAGGCAGAATAGAGTGAGAATATTACTTCCCTTGATTGGGATGCCGTACTTCTGTTGATGCAGCCTTGAATAGCATAATGTGCTGTAGAGGGAAGTGAGGAGCCGATGGGGCTTGTCAGCCTGGGAAGGAAGCCTGTCTGGGAGAAGGAAAGCTCTGGTCCTAAACCTCTGCTGTCTTGTGGGACATATTTGGAATAAGAAAAGGCTAATGAGTAAATCCTACACAAATTCAGAATGGAGTCCCTAAGATGGTTGGATGGGTCCTTGTAGGCATCCTTCCAGCAGCTCCTGCAAGCCAAGCTGCTTTCCTTTGGACCACATCAGCAATGCCAAGTTGTCATCTGGGCAACCCTGGACCACCATACACACTTCCCAGTCTTGTGCCTGTGCAAATGTTCAGGGTGGCAGGAGAGGATATATTGTTTATTAATATCCTTCCTAACTTGCGTTAGCAAGTTTCTTTACTTAGCAGAGTGCATTTACACAGCAGAAAACTTGTTGCAAACTTGTGTGAGTTTCTTAAGACAATACGCAATTCAATCTGGCTTGTCCAGATTGAAGTGTGTTATCATATTTTCCTGGTAAGACCCCTTGAATCCCTCCTAAAAGAATAAAGATACCACAGTCTTATTCTTCTTCCCTGTTCAGGGAAGTTTTTAATGTGTGACATTTTAATGTATTTTTAATCTTTGTTGGAAGCTGCCCAGAGTGGCTGGGGAAACCCAGCCAGATGAGCGGGGTACAAATAAATTATTATTATTATTATTATTATTATCAATAAAAATGAAGTTTACTCACGATCAGGCAGAGCACAGTGTGATCCCTGAAGGCAGGCTTAAGGCTTAAAGTTATAAGCATATGCAAACAGGTTTCCCCCATATGTGGGTTGACCTAATGACTGCAGTTAGCAGTCTGAGAAGTTCACAGGACAAAAGGAGGATGGAAAAGGGAGTGGCAGCATGCCTTGGCCTTTTACCAGGTCTGGAAAGGTCACACCTACCCACTAGTCACATGCAAGAAAGGATGCTCCAAGCCAGAAGGAACAGGAAGTTTTGACTGGCTGGACCAAACATTCCCTTGCATGTCCACTCTGGGAAAACAAGGAATGTTGTGTCTGAGGGAGCTGACTTGAGTGCTACTAACACAGTGATTTGACGTCTTCCCTGTCTCTTGAGACAGATGGATGCCAATAATAATAATAATAATAATAATAATATTTTATTTATACCCCGCCTTCCCCAGCCAGAGCCGTGCTCAGGGCGGCTAGCTAACACCAATAAAATTACAATAAAACATAATTGGGGGAAACAAACAAACAAACAAACAAACAAACAAACCCAGTTTATGAAGCATTCCTTCTCAGTGATGGCTCCGACCTGGTGGAATGCTCTGTCCCATGAAACCAGGGCCCTGCAGGATTTAACTTCCTTCCGCA